GCTATACAGGTCCCAATATGACCTTTAGTTTCTGTATCGTCGTTTTGTTCTCACGCTATAACTATCATCAAGCCATCCCAACTAGCCCAAGCTGCCACACTTCTTAATGACACTCGACCGCTACTGCCAGCCAGGCCTTCACATCAAGCTGTTACCACCCCTTCTCCCACTCCTGAAAAAAAAATAATAAAAAATTCGGCGTACCCCACTGGTGCGGTGTCTCGCTTTTAGCGTGCCGTGCAGTGGAGCTGGGCTGTTATCGGAAGTACAGTAGGCCACGAAATAATTCGGGCCACGCGAAGCGTGCGGCAAAATTGGCGCCTAGTGCACTGTGGTCTAGTGGCGTGCAATCTGCTATAGAGTGCATAGCTATGGCCATGCAATGCTGTCGAAAGCAAATGGCTGGCCAATAGATGGCAAATTTGTCACACGCTTGCATCGACCGTATCATTTCACGGCCGACCGTACGTGGGTGGCATGACCTTTGCACGGTGTACTTACTTTGACGCTCGTGTATGTTCAAACATATGCAACAGTCTGCCTACCAAAGTGGAACGAAATGGTCACAGTTGGTCATCAATGACTCATCATCAGTACAGAATTTCCATTGGACAAATGCCTAAGCACTGACTGACCATTGCACAAGCTTCAAAGGGTGCATCTGCAGAATTCTGATTTGCAGCATATTCGGGAGCAGCAGAACTTTCTCTTTGGTGCGCTATGAAACAGAAATTTTATATTTAGAAGCACCTTGCATCAACTTGTATCAGATTCTTGAGTATGTCAAAGAAGCAGGTGTTGATTAACTTTCAAACACATGAAGAATTATATATACTTGATCTTATGAAGAGCTAGATCAACAGCTCCATTCAGTGTAGATCTCACCGAGAAAAATGCCCTCAGGAACATTCAACATTACTTTCTTTGACAATGCAAAAATAAGGGCAGTCACAGAGACAAAGGTTGCGAGATGCACGAGGCCGGCTTCTGGTATGGGGTCATGGCTTGATTGGGAAGCTTGCATGGGCAGTACCGTATTCTGTAGTATTGTTGGTTTGTGGTAACAACTACATTATTCCTCAACAGCACACTGCAGAGGTTGGGACGTGCCGTCGTGCAAGTGCCTGTGATAGATGGCAAGAAATACTACTCTCCAGCGTAATTATGTCTATTTCGTCAGGACGAAACAGTAAATCCCATCTTGTTCAAGAGTGGAATTTCTATATATAATTGACACCAGCAGGAATACTTACATACTTACTTTTCTACAATACATGCAATTGGAACACCTCATAGACCAGCCTCATAATTTGTGCAGAGCTTGTAACCCTGAAAGGTGGCCACAATACAAGCCATAATCTTTGTACCTCGCTCCATGTGGCATCACTTAAAGATGCGGCCTTAGTTTTAAACTTGAGACACAGAAGAACAGCCTTAAAAGGATACTGACACAAAAGTTATAGCCTCACATTTTTTTTGCTGCAATGTGTTCCTGGGGGCTTCTTACTCCTAACATAATTAATTAGGGGTCCATTATTACTGACTAGCGTCTGTTCCATAAACTACAAGCCACCGGATAATACGATCACCACCTAGAGAGTGCAATGCTTTACCATGTCAGCATGCAGAACTGTGATGCACTATCACGTGGTTCACATCAAGAAGTTTTTTTTTTTTTTTTTTTAACAGAGAATGGGACAGCAATGTTATGAAACACGAAACTTGCAACTCATGCACAGAGGCCATGGACTCACGAGCAGCTGATGAGTAATAGCCTGCTAGAGCAAACACGACCAAAGGAAAATGGTGGCTATGACGTCATCATATGTTGGTGCAGCGTGGCCAAGGGAAGGAAGTAGGGGTTCCCCAAGGGTCCCCTTTGAGGGTGTTAATACCGCAATAGAGTCGATCTCTCATGCAAACTTCAAAATTAACTTTAAGTACCTTCTGAGTTAAATTCTCTGTTGATATATATGCAAATGTTCATGGAAATTGATTCCGCTATCTCATACATGAAATTTTGTGTCAGTACCCCTTTAGGAATTATTCAGGAACCATAGAAAAGGCATAACCCAGAAGTGGAAAAGCTTAAATAGAATTTGGAGCAAATTTTGGAGCACCAAAATGTTATTTTAGAAGAATAAACCGAAATTTGAAGCAGGTTACGGAAATACAAACATCAATATTTAACACGGAAGTGTTTTATGCCGGGGTCCACCAAGACTTCAGTCAAGCATTTCGTCACGGTAATGACATGAAATGATTCTGTGAAATAAGAAAGAAAAAACATCTAATAAAAGCTTTCCCGCAGGGCATCGAACCTTTCACTTCATGGGAAACGACGAAGAGCGCCCAATACTTTACTGCCTGAGCTATTGAAGGAATTGCTCGGTTGTGTACGAACGCACCTTATATCTTTCACACATTTTCTCTCGCTCCGCACACACTGTTGGAGAAGAGGGGCGGTGCCGCCATCTGTGTGTGCTCAAAAGAAGTAATGTGGCATGATGCAGTTAAAGCATGATGTCCGAGATTGAGCGCCAGTGCACAGTCTCGGAGGCCATGGTTAAAGATCTGTGATTAAAGCTTCTCGGTAGCAGTGAAAAACTCAGACCGGGCGAGCATCGAAGAGTGGCCAACGCAGTTATGTTCTTTGCTTTTCGTTACGTCTTAGCGCATGACAGCTCGTTGTTAAAGTCAGGCAGCTTCCAAACGCACCAACGTTGTTTCACCACCGACTACTTCGAGGGTGATAGCACTGGCTTATTTAATAAAACTGCTGCACTGCAGCAAAGCATGTCGACGAGCCAACATCGTGGCTTGGTGGAATGAAACTGAGGGCAGCAAGACGTCAAACGCTGGTGCGCGTTCGCGGCTCAAGCAACGAACCTCTGTGTCTCGCGCTGCTGAAGTTCAGTACGCGCGAGAGCTGGCGTAGGTTTCAGGAGCATACATCGTGCCGTTTCTCACCATAACCGCATTCTTTGAAGGCTTGCATATTGAGTAGCAGCATTTGTTGTGGACTTGTTAACGTCATTTTTGTGTGCGATTAACAACATGCTGATTGATTGATTGATATGTGGGGTTTAACGTCCCAAAACCACCACATAATTAACATGCTGTGCGTTAAAAACTTCAGTAGTTAAACCATGATCTTATCTTGTATGGTAGCTGTCCCTATGAAGACGTGCCACTAGGCATCAACGTGGTTGTCAACAACAGTGCTATAGCCCAGAAACGCGAATAAAAATTGTTCATGCTCTCATGTATCACTTCACAATAGCACTACTACTTCTATGAAGATGCGTTTCACTTTTGTGTTATACTGATTCCTATGACAGAGGGATCAACCATGTTTTTCTTTATTGTTATGAAAGAGCAAATTGGGAGCAGTATAAAAAATAGGCTTAAATTTAGAAAAAAAATGTACAAACCATTCAACCTCACTTATATCGTTTAGAGCGAACATGATCAGTGCTGTTTCAATAGAAGTAGTATTTTAACCACCCCAGTCTGCAAACAATGATGAAATCCTCATCAGCATTTGCCACGCCTGTCAAATCAGAAAAGCGCATTATCAGACTGCAAACTTCAGCGAGGCTCTGCAAAGCTGGCAACCTAGAACTTCCAGAGAACAGTGAAACCGAGGTTCAGAGGTGACGAAAAAAAAACACCTTTTTTTTTTTGTGGGAGGGAGGGGCACAAAAATGCTATTCGATGTTCAAAATAATTGCCAGTAACTTTTTTTTTAGACATCAGCTATCATAACAGTACTCTCAATTATGCGGCGTATACATGCATGAGTAATCAAACAAAATGTGCTGTGCCGCGCGATTAACGCTAGCAACCGCTTCCAAATCATAATGCGCTTTTCTGCAAGGCACTGGTGTACTGTGGCGAAGGTAGCTTAAACATGGTTCTTCGCGGGTTTAAACAAGGCCAAAAAATTTTTCGAACCACAACACTTCCTTCTCTCCAACCCTTCCCCCTCCATTTTTTTTAATTGTGAGATTAGGTTTAGGGTACCACTTCTCAGCTCGCTAGAAAGGTGCGTTCGACCAGAGAAAGGAACAACAGCACATGCCCATTGGCCCGGCACCGCATACATATCGCTGCGAGGACGGAACTTCAAGGCAGAAAAATGTTCGCAACCAAGGTGGTGGATGGCAATGCCAGCGTTCGCAGCACGTCAAGCTTGTTCGCGTGCTGTAAACATGGCATACGCTTCAAGCTTTAGTTGCTAACATACCATAACTGTGTCGGCTGACTAGGAAATTGATATCTCCCGATAAGTGTTGGTGGTTATGGCAATGTATTTCTGTCTTTTTAAGTTCGGTCGATCCGCCGATGCTGCAGTCAGCGGATCAATGTGTGCGTGGTGCTGTTACAATGCATCTAGCGAGTGCCCTCACCTAACTAGTATATATACCTTACACCACGGTTCAGGGTTAGAATCGGCGTACGCAAAGTGCAGGTGACCAACGTGGTCCCCATTTCTCGTTGAAATTGGCGCACCCGAGAAAATTTTCAGGCTTGTCGGGCATTTCGGTGCAGCGTGGAACAATTTCTACAAATTTCATGGTTTTGGCGAAACTATGGAGAAGTGTATCAAATTGGTGCATTTGGCGCAGCTTTGGCACTCCTGCATAATCCCATCAGCACTTGAGTTTACCGAAATTCGACTGTACATTGCCGAAAAATCAATTTTGAAATACCGGAAAGATCGAGCTTCACGCCAAAAAGCGACGAAGGCCCTCCTGAAGTTTCTGCGATTGACCCGCCTCGTCGAACGCTTGTGACGTTTTAGTGTGTTTTCGCTTCCGTCCCGCCCTCTTTCTCTCCTTCCCTTTTTCGTACATTTCTGTCTTCCATTTCCCCTTCCCCAGTACAGGGTAGCAAACCAGACACTTGCTTTCTGGTTAACCTCCCTGCCTTTCTTCATACCACATCTTTCTCTCTCTCTCGACTGTACAAAACTGTATCAACAACGTTGAAGATCATTGACGTTGGGCAAACAGATAAACAAGGAGGCATTTTTATCATCTGAGCAGCTACCAGGATGGCCTGGTGGAGACATGGCTCTCTCAGCACAGTCCTTCAGTCTGTGTCACCACCTTCCACAGCTATCTCTTCTTCCTTCACAAGGAACTCGACGACTTCATCCTCCAGGTCTTCCAGATTGCTGTCAAGCTCGTCAGTGTCCACACCTGCGGTCAAACGTGCCTAAACTGAATCGCCGTTTGATACACAACAGATCTCGTTCCCTAACGAAACTGCATATACAGGTCATCATCACCATCAGCCTGACTGTGCCCACTGCAGGGCAAGGGCCTCTCCCATGATCCGCCAATCAACCCAGTCTTGTGCTTTCTACTGGCACGCTATGCCCGCAAACTTTTCAATCTCGTCGACCCCCATAACTTTCTGTCTCCCTCTCGTGAATTTGCGCTACGTGCCCGGCCCATGTCCATTTCTTCTTGATTTGAACGAATATCCTTAACCGCGGTTTGTTCCCTGACTTACTGTGGTCTCTTCTTCGTCTTTTAAAATTACACCCATCATTTTCCTTTCCATTGCTCACTGTGTTGTTCCCGATTCAAACTGAACCCTCTTAGCAAGCCTCCAGTTGCTCCATCTACAGGTAAACCCCCTTAAAGTAAAAGTGATGTAACAGGCCACTTAGTATAAGGAACACCAGCATGACTTAATTGAAATAAGGATTCACCACAATGTGAGAACATGGCATCTTGCTTATAAAAGACAACTCGAATAAAAGACAAGAACTGCTTCGCAGTGCGTGTCTCTCAAAGGAGTTCAACAGCAGGACAGGTAATGAAAGCTGTGGATACTTATGCCAAACATGGTGCCATCCTAAAGTACCACTTGCCAGGCCACATAGCTACTTTAGGTAAGCAGTGGAAGTTGTAATGTGCCCAACAGAGAGCATTCTACTGCACGAGTTCATCAAATCGGTTAATTGCTAGCAAAAGTGAAAGAACACACCATTAAGAAGCGTGCAGCCACGACCTGGGGAGGCAACCTTCGCACCCTTGGCCCGCCTAGCCTCCGCAAGCTCTTCCCCGCCTCCTCCCACACCTGAGGATCCCACCTGTGTCAGCATGTCATACATTTATCATGATGCATGGGCGAGGCACGTTCTCTTTCTTTGGATTTCACCTAGCACAAGCAAGCTTTGAAGTCGTCCTCGCCTGCTGGAGGCAGGAAAGAAGGAAATCCAGGCTCGCCGTGCTGCCCGGCAAGGCACTTTCATCATCGCGATACAATCGGTGTTGTGCATCATCGCCACTTCTTGGAGCACGGTGCCCGCGAAGAAGGAGCAGACAAGGCCCACTTTCAAACTCGAGCTCCATGCGCAGCACGTAGCGATATAACGCCTGCCACGCGCTAAAGTGAGTGCAGAGCGTAAGCACAGTGCTTGTCGTATCAAAATGGCCAAGCCTGGCGAGGGGCTCTTTGAAAGAAACAGGACAATATTCAAAACTTATGGTTAAAGAAAAGTGTGCCGATCGAGACTTTGAACAGCTGTTGCAATGCACATGTGAGTTGTGCATGTTTTTTTAAATCTTGGTGAATCTCCGATGAGTGTGACCCAGCATTTTTAGAAGGGATTCTTGCATTAAGAATAACAAAGACTCCTAAATTGAAACCACGGAGAAAAAAGTCTGGAAACCTACCGTCTCGAAGCTCCATACGGATGTCTCGCACGGAGTTGTACTCGATCGTCTTGCGCTCTTGGAGGGCCCGGAACTCTTCCAACATTCGTTTCCGCTTCTCCATAACCTCCTGCAAGAAAAGAAGTCCATTCCGAGAGAAATTATTGCAAAGCGTTCCAAAGATGTCTTTACATAATGCTCTGAAATATTTTTTGCAAAAATTTTAGCAAAAACTTGGACGATAGTTGCAGTCTGCAGTACTTGCCTTGGATGCCTTGCTGAGCGAGGCCTTGTCCTTGAGGTCGAACTGTTCGGAGTATTTCTTGAAGTTCTTACGGATCTCCTTTAGCTTCTCTTCAGTGAGTAGCGATGGGGGCCGGGGCCTCCACATCAGCTGGCAGAAGCGGTCCAGGTTGCACTTACGCAGGATGCGCCCTTGGAACGACCAGATCCAGTAGGCATTGTCCGTCTACGCAACGCCGCATGAAAAGGTGGTCAGCAACGAAAGTGTCGACGGAATGAAGCATACAGTTTTCTAAAATTAACTAAAGGGTTTTCTCGCGCTGCGATCGTTCAGCGACCATGGGAATGATAGGTAGTACATGTATTTGCCTGGTAGTCATACTATCAGGCCTTGTGGCTTCGTTGATTGCTGGGTTTCGGTTTTGTTTTGAAGGAAAGAACGAACCCTCTTGGCGATTTTCATTTTGTAACAAAGCAGTTCCAAGCCTCGCGATGCCAAATGGAGCTGGAAGTACGAAGATTAAACAAATGGGTATACTACACATCATTCCCACACTCGCGGAAATGCCGTGCGTGGAAGCTCCCATAGACACTAGCACTAGAGTTCCCTCCAGCGCATCTAAAAGGAAACACTCATCCCGACGCCAATCAGCATCAGCTCATACATCAAGAAAAGGCGGCACCACTGTTCTGCTCCGTGCAAACAAACATCTGCACATTTTATGTTGGAAAATATTACAATAAAGAGCTGCTGTACTTTAACATTGATATAGAGACAATTAAGAGCATATGCCAGTGGTAGGTCCCACGACAGGCACATGCACTTTTTTTGTCACCAGAGGTGCCTAAAGTTTTTTTTAATTGAAAATAAGAATATAAATCTGGAATTAGCAAGAAAAACATTCTTCGATTTAGACATTGTAATAGACAATTTCTTTAGTGGGGTCGTCTCAATTCGTGTTCTGGGCAGTTGTCAGTCCCTTTAGGCAAAGCTTTCACGTGCGTTCACAGCAGCCAGCTGCCCGTCCCTTAGCAGTTCACTCGCCTGTCTCTCAGCAAAACACACGCGAGTTCTTTCAACAGAAATAAATATTTCGTGCCCATATCGTGGTTTGAAAAGGGATCTTGCTACTTCCCCATCATAGAAATATTTTCTCTCAACCTTGATGTTCGCATCTCCGAGATTCTGCAGCAGATAATGTAAGAGACAACTCGTTCCTCTTGCTCGGTCAAGCCCCCTCGGACGTCAATGCCGTTACGAATGAGACTCTCCACAAAAGAAAGTGAACTGACCTTGTGGAGCCACCAACTGACACCGGTAACAACGTAACGTCCGGTGGGGTCCCACTCGACGTCCGACGCCATGAAGTGGTCGTTCTGATTCATCATGGTGAAGTCGGCAGTGTCGATGAACTCTAGGGTTCCATTCATGCTGAAAACAGAAATCACCAGCTACGATTCACACGTTCGCGAGGCCATGCAAAAGTCACTTACTTGTTGGATCAATCAATGAAATTTAAAGTTCAGGTGAACTTGAACACAGTCGCTCTCCGATCATTTGAACGCTGAAAATTCGGACATGCTCGTTTTTCGGACACATTGACGTCATCGCTCCTGCTCCCATTGAAGTAGTGTAAACTCGAGGCTGAAATTAGGATGCCCCATGGTGCGCCATCCGATTTTCTTTTTTTTTAATGCCAGCTGGCAGATCAAGCGCGACCTCCAACATTATGACCTTTGCGTGCAAGCATGCATTGACAAGTTCTTCCAGGTGGCCTAAAAAAAATGCTCTTCTTTAAGCGAATCCTCATTTACGGGCTTTCAATTATTTGAAATTTTCAGTGGTTGTTGCAGAGTTTGAACGAAGGGTCGGCAACTGCACCTTGATAGTCGTTCGAATTTTCAGTGCTCGGATATTCACCCATTCCTAGGTTTTTCTGCATTACTCACTCATAACAAAACGAGCCGAAGCGACATTTCTCAGGATGACAGAAGCTGAAAAAGTATGAGAACACTCACGTCCGCAGGCCGGCGAGCACGATGAATTGGCCGCTGGGAGACCAGAAGAGGTGATTGCACTGCTTCCGCTCAAACTTCTTGAGTAGCACCGCCGATGCGCCGGGCTTTACGCCGTAGAAGGAGACGGAGATGTGCGGGCTGTCACCGTGGATGATGGCAAACTTGCTGCCAACGGGTTCCCAGGCGAATGCCACGATCGAATCTGCAAACGATCCCCAACAATCGCATGCCGCTGTGACTTGCGACGGGCGCGCGGTTGCAGAACCAGCCCAAACCCCTGCTAAACATTTGATGAATTCAAGCTTTGGAATTGCCAGCATGTATCTACCCCATTAAACATTTCACCCATGTCTGTACATTTCCAACTGCATTTTAGCACTAACTGAAAATACATACACTCAAACCACATTATCACAAAGTTGCATCTTACACGTAACTAAGTTTTTTATACAAGAAAATTTGTTGTGAAGGTATAGTCCCAACACTGATTCCATTGCAAGACTATTCGTGATTTATTTCACTAAAACAAATTTTTAGTTATATGTGAGCTATACAGAGGTGAGTGTTTTTGCTTAATTACAGCATCTTCTGACTAATGAGCATGAGGTCTACAAGAGCATTAGCCCTTTAAGGTCTGGTTATTCAAATTAGGGACAATAAGCTTTATAAGTCATCGGAGAAACTACATGGTTAAAAAGAATGGTCGCTCTGCTACAGCTCATATTTAGCATCTGTTCTGCATAAGCCAGCAACACGATAGGCTAAAAAAATTTGTACGATGTGCGAACAAAGACAGCACAATCACTTTTGCTGTTCCTGCAATTCGCTCAACTGGCTTTTACTTTCACCCTGCACAGGCAAGTCATTTGCTCAACTTTTGAAACATACATTACACTATTCCCCCAATAGAACTTTATAGCAATAAATCAATAAATATGAAGATGTCATTGATTGATTACCTCTTAGATTATTTTGCTCACTAATAAGGTTTGACTGAAAAGTGTGAGCGTAAATTTTTAAAATATCTTTCAGTAATGTGATCACGCGAATCTTAATCTGTAAAGACCAGCCGCTAACGTGTAGCAAGGTTAATTTGAGACTGAATGCATCCAACCCTTTACTGCGCCTCTTTACCTGGAGTCTCTTTTAAATCTGTGGAGCATAAAGACTGATTGTAGCAATACGTAATGTCTAAATAACCAATTAGGCAGCGCGAAGACGATATGCTTGTCGCTGAAAAAAGATGCTTCACTAGCAAAGTATGCATTTAGGATATAATTCTTTTTAGGCTGCACGAAGTTACACAGAGAGGAACATACACTGGAACGTGACTGAATGCAGAACGCAGACTCTGACGAAATGGGGCTCGGTGCATGCACTCACCTTTGATCTCAAGACTGTCTACGGGAATCTGCTTCTCCTTCATCAGGAAGATTTCAAAGTTGAAGTACATTCCCTGCACGTAAAGAAGAAGCAAGCGCAGCATTCAGCAAAATTCATTAAATGAAGGTGCCCACAAACTGAGGCATTGATTAGATTGTACTTAGCCAAATCTAATGCTAACTGAAATTGTACATGCAATACATATTGTAGATGTTAAAAAAAAAACACCTGAATGTAAGTGGCTTACCCCTGAATCAATGATCAAAAAAAAGAAAAAGGTGACAAGCACGCATTACATCCAAAGAATATGAGACACAATGAAATTAATTGAGACAATTAAGTGAGGAAAAGCATAAAGGTCATCGACTGGGCTTAACTGTAATGCAATGATGATGATGTAAGTTGAAGTGAAAGGGACTACAAATCACTCGTTCTGTTGGTGGGATCTGCACCAACAACTTACGAATCATACATTCAATGCTCTGCCAACTGAGCTACATTAAGAGACAATTGCTTTACCATCCACTTTGCATGTACACTAAAACCTCATTATAAAACAGTAGCATCTCACTCGAAATCATGTTTGTTATATCCAAATATGTAATAAAGTTTTATTCCAAACACGATATCTATTACAAGACCATTTATAATCTACTTCATTAGAACCAATATCTCGTTACATCCAAATTCGTTGCCCCGCCACAGCGGTCTAGTGGCTAAGGTACTCGGCTGCTGACCCGCAAGTTTCAGGATCGAATCCCGGCTGTGGCGGCTGCGTTTTCGATGGAGGCGGAAATGTTGTAAGCCTGGATACTCAGATATGGGTGCACGTTAGAGAACTCCAGGTGGTCGGAATTTTCGGAGCTCTCCACTACGGCGTCTCTCATAATCATATGGTGGTTTCGGGACGTTAAAACCCACATAACAATCAATCATCAAATCCAAATTCTCAAGCAGCGATGGCGGGGACGGCATGTATACGGGAGGCAAAACAAATGTGAACGTTTCCGGCGGGTGCAGACGTGGTTTTCTGGCCGCGCTAGCATTTTCGCTTTAATTCTCCAATGCGAATTCTCCAGGACTCATATATTTTCATGTTGACTTCGCGGCGCGGCTTTCCGGCTGCGAGTGAATTTCCAATGCGTTTGGGCGCTTTCGCTCGCTCTGATGTCAAGTGTGATCGCGCTGCGCCAGCAGCATGAGCAAGGAGACCGCGGCACTTAAGAGATTCTGAAAGCAGGAAAGTTACATCACAGACTTTTTTCGGCAAGGTGTAAATGCCAATGAAGTTCTTGTTCATCACTTTTATCAGCTTTAGGTTGTTTTTGGTTCATACGAATTCGGGCTGATATGAATATTTTACACTCTCCCTTCGAATTCATATCATCGAGATTTTACTATATAACGGCCATCTCGCCAAGGCGTTTGTAATTTAACGCCCTTATATGAGCTACTCATAGCGCTACATACCGAAGATGGGCAACGAATACCCCGCGTGGACTCCATAAACATTCTCGGTCACCTAGTCCAGGACACTGGCTGCCATGCACGAACAATAAAACACATCAAAGCTAAAATAAAAAGACATGCTCCTACTAATTCAGCGAGTCTCGGGTCGCAGACGAGGCCAACCTTCTGCGCATATACCACACGTTCCTCATAAGCCACATCAATTACGTCGCCTCTGCCCATAACTAGGCAAACACGGAAAAGATGAAACTAAACACACTCAGACCACGGCCCAAGTCATTCGCCTCTCCTCCTCCAAGGCAGGCCGCCGACTTATCAGCGAGGCTGGCATGTCCCCACATCCCTACCTTGAACGCGCAGTAACCCTCCCCAGAGCTGTCCACGCTACCTACATGGTAACCCCACTTCCGTGAAATGTTCACCTGCAACACAACAAAGGCAGACGCCTAGTCCGCGCTCGCACAATCCTCGACCATACCGCTGCGAATCGTAACTCTACCGTCTTCGTCGATGCGGCGCGATACAATAACTCTTCAACTTTCGCAACCGCGGTAGTAGATGGCGACGGAGTCCTACGCTCAGCGGCCTTAATCAAGCTAGCAACAAGCGCCTTAGAAGAGCAGGTTGCTATAGCTTTAGCGATGATAGACCCCTCACACACCCATGTCTTCACAGACTCTCGCGCTGTCATTCGGGCTTACGAAAGTGGCAACATCGCTCGAGAAGCAGCCCACATTCTACAAACGGGCAAATGCATGGGCTAGCACTAGCTCTCTTGGTTCCCTGGCCACATGGGCAAAGACGTCCAACCACAGCAACCCAACCTCAACAAAATTGCTGATCATCGAGCGCGAGAACTGACCCGCCGCAACGATCAGTCAGCCATCGAAGATCTGGGCCCAGACGTACAGTTTAATGACCCTTTACTCGCCTTCCACGAAATTACCTCCTACTACCGAAATGGCAGAAGGCTATAATACCTTTACCACATGCAAAGCTCAAACGCGCACAAGAGGTAGCCTTTCGCATGCTACAAACGAGATTGTATTCATCACGAAGCCGACTCAGCCGCTACAACTCGGACATAGATTCACCATTCCCAGACTGCTCATAAGTGTACTGTTCACTCGAACACATGCTCTGGCAATGTCCCGCGTTACCTCGAGGACCTCGCACCAGTGAGTCCGACTGGGAGCTGGAATTCCGGAGCCAATATCTCCGAAACCAATTAAAGGCAGTCCTGAGGGCCCCAAGAACTGGCGGAATGCCACCATGTTCCCGCCCCTACTCGGGCATCGCCTACAGTAGCGGCTGCCGGGATGTGTCTTCGTGGACACCCTGGTGGCTTAAACTTCGTAAGACATTTAATAAAGTTCTTGACTCACTGACTGACGTCACATGACCCATGACCTTCATGCAAGGCGGCAGCTGATCAATAAACTCAAATACTTATTTATATTCATATTCATATATTCATTATATTTATATTATATATTCAAAGCAATGGCAGCAAGGACATTGCTTTGAATAATAAAAAATGTCGAGAGGTGCTTGCTGATTTGGTAGAAAAAACCAAATAAAACAAAGAATTAGGCTAGGGAAAGCATAGAAAACAACAGGTCGCTCCGATATAGTGGGGAATTTTCCAACTTCATATTAGGTCACAATTAGTACACTACTGTCAATACAACAACCGCGCATACTTCTTTTTTTTATACTCAAAAGTTTGATGCCTCGCTTCCTATTCCTGAGTACTGTACATCTACGTCTTTGACCATCTTGTGGATGTTTGCTCATGATGAAAAAAACATGCACCTCAAAGGGTCCACGCAAGTCTACTGTATATAAAGAGAGAAGGTGTATTTAGCCACTCACGCTGTACTTCCACTCGTTCTTTTCGCGCTTGGCCTTTGTGTAGCGGTCCACCTTGACGCAGAGGTAGTCGCCAGACTTCTGCCAGTGCATCTTGCAGTCGGCGACGTTGAAGAGGTTCTTGGCACGCAGCTCCTGGCGCGATGGCACCTCGATGAGGGTGACTCGCGCCGGCACGTTCTTGTCCTCGGCCACCCAGTAGGCAAGGATGTTGGACACGGGCGACCAGGAGAAGTTGCGGATGCCCGGGATCTTGAGGGACTTCTTGTCGAGCAGGCCGAACGAGGGTGTCTCGTAGATGCTCAGCATGTCGGAGGTCATGCGGGCAAAGAAACGGTCGTCGCTGCTCCACCGAAACATGGGCCAGATAGTGATCTCGGCGTCGGCGATGAACGAACGCTTCTTGAGGCCCGTCCGGATGTCCCAGACGATCACCGTCTGGCTCCCGTCGTCAGGCGGCGGCAAGCCCTTCTGGTGCGCCGCGTATGCTTCGGGAGATGGTGGGCTTAGCGTGACCAAGTAGCTGTGTTGCAACAGAGAAACAAAAATTCCGAGCACTTCCTTCACTGGAAAGTTAGAAGAGCCACACTATGACCTGAGAGTTGCCATTGTAGTGCGAAATTCAAAGGCAAAACATTGACCACTTTATTTTGTAGTGACACATCCATGACGGCGACACTGACAGCTCCAGGACACTCCAAAAAGAACAAGTAAGAATGGTGTACTTTTGTCCCACAACAATAATAGTACAACTTGCATGCCCTGCTTTGCACTATCTCCACACATTCGGTATTCCAAGTTCACGTAAAGCAGGCGCTAATGTGCGACAAAGCACTTTTGATAGGAAAGTGCCGAATTTTCAATCAAGAAAACCCAAGTGAGCCAGATGACGATTCTTGTTGTGGGACAAAAAGGTACATACAGTTAAACCTCGTTATAACAAGACGGACTATGACGAAATAATGGATATAACGAGCAAATCCTAATTCCCCTTGAAAGTCCCCATACAAACCACTGTATTCAAAACCTCGTTTTATTGAGGCGAAATTTCCCTGTTATGGAATATAACGAACAAATTTTGTTAGGAAGTAAAATTTTGAGCCGATGTCACGACATTGCACAACGCGAACTTGAGACGGCGCGCAACGCGAGAACTGTATTTAGCAGTTCAAAACTCCCGCCACGCGCCCTCCAGCCACGCGCCCTCTAGCAACGCGCGCAAAGCAGACGGCACGTTTTGTTTCCGGAGGAGAGGTCGCTGCACGTGCGCCGCTTGGCTACCATCGACAGCGGAGCGCTCCGCAGCTCCGCGAACGTCTTGCCCTTTTCTTTTCTTTTGTGTCTTCTTTATATTCTCCCTCTCCCCTTTCTCATGGCGCTGAGGTGCGCTTTCTAATCTTACATACCGTATTTACTCGCGTAATCCTCGCACTCGCATAATTCTCGCACCCTCCACATCGCCCCCCCAAAAAATACGATTTTTTTTTCCTCGACTAATTATCGCACCCCCGAAAACTACCGCATTAATGTCGTCTGCTCGTTCCAGCAACTGATGATGATAGCGCGCGCCATCTCTTAAGTATCAAGCATACTATTGCACGGAGATCCAATCCAATCCAAGCCAAAGTGGTCAGTGCGCGTTGCGGCGTGTTTTGTGTGTTGTGTCGGTAATCTTGGCACGTTATGGGGCGATACTGACGCCACACTGCTGCTTCAAGTTATGCGCTAAACAACGGCAACAGGGCCACCGGTAGGCCCTTCGAAGCCTACGATTTTTGTGTTCGCTACTGGTGACGGCAGCTGAAAGCCACCAAGACGCGTTGGACCTGCTGTGCCTAAAACTGGGATTGATGGTAAACTTCATTTCTTCAGAAGGGAACTGCGGACGATTCTGTTAAATAGTCATCAGCCCAATACTGACGTCCTACGCTTACTTTTTGAGGGCTCCTGTTGAGCGCCGACCGCTACCGCTACGCCCGCAACGCCCACAAGCTTCGCGTATGGTATTCTAATTCTCGACTATTTGCTTCCACTTTTTGTGTCTCAAATAAATCTTGCCTTATGTTGAACCTCTGCTTTTGTTTTTGAGGTAAGTTCTAATTAGTACTTCTTAAAGCTTGCTGTAAGGTGCTTTTGCGAGAATTCCGATTTGCGGCCACTTCGTTTTCTTTTTCGCTCTCCGCGTTTTCGTAGAAAGTTTTCCCCGCGTAATTCTCGCACCCTCCAACTTTGCATCGGATTTCTGGCAAAAAAAGTGCGAGGATTATGCGAGTAAATACGGTACCCCCTTCCCCTTGAGTAACCGATTCCTAGAGGGCAGCGCAAAAGAGCGCCCCCTTCTGCCGAAGCCTTCCTCTTCACAGTCACTTTCTCTGCAAGTGTTATCCCTGGCCGACGTGAGCCGCTTTGCTTTTGCGTGCGTGTTTCTTCTCTTTTTCGACCCCTTCTTTATCGTGCTGCGCTCGTGATTCCACCAACATGAATACGCCAGGTGGGAAGCGAAAGTGCATAAAGCTAGATCAGAAGGCGGCTATGATAAGAGCCGTCGAATCGGGGACCAAGAAAGGCAACGTGGCAAGAGACTTTGGCGTATTGACGAGCACACTGTCAACCATCTTGAGCAAGCAGGAGTCCATCATCGACGCTGTTGCACGTGGCGTGAAAGGAAGCGATAAGAGGATGAGGGCACCTGCCTTTGAAGCGGTTGAAAGGGCCGTTTTTGAATGGTTCTTGGACACGCGGGCCGTGAATTTGTCGGTGAGTGGCGCCTTACTGCAAAGAAAAGCGAGAGACTTTGCCTGCATCATGGGCTATGACAACTTCGTAGCAAGTTCGAGTTGGCTCCAACGCTTCAAGGAGCGCCACGACATTGTCGGGAGAGCGGTCTGCGGCGAATCGCATACTGTCGACGAAGCAGAGGCTACCAAGTGGGCGAAAGAAAAGATTGTGCGGCTGCTAGAAAAATACAACACGGAGGATATTTTTAACGCGGACGAAACCACTCTCTTTTTCAAGATGTTGCCGCACAAGACGTTAGCACTCAAAGGCGAGTTGTGCCATGGCGGCAAACAAAGTAAGCTGCGGATCTTTGCGCTACTTTGTGCAAACATGACCGGCTCTGAGAAGCTGCCAATTTTCGTAATTGGCAAAAGTGCATCCCCTCGCTGCTTTAGGGGAAGAGGCAGCTCCCAGTCAAGTACGTAGCCAATCGCAAAGCCTGGATGACCAGGGAGATTTTTTCAAAATGGCTTTGCGGATGGGACGAGAAGCTGGCAAAGGCGAACCGCAGAGTGTGCCTTGTTTTAGATAACAGCACCGCCCACCATACCGCTGCCGTGCTTCAAAACATAGAGCTGCTGTTCCTTCCTGCCAACTGCACAGCAAAAATACAGCTGCTTGACCAAGGCGTGATTATGTCGCTGAAGGCAGGTTACCGCAATCGTGTGATAGACAAGCTCCTGCTCAACATGAGGATGAAGCGAGACACCGATGTTGACTTGTACGCTGCGCTCGAAATGCTTCAGGCGGCGTGGATGAGTGTGACGGCGACCACGATCGCAAACTGCTTTCGACACGCCTCAGGACGGTTTTGCCACATCAGACGAAGTCTCTGCATCATGGCACTTCGTGACGCTGGTGTCGTGCCTGACAGCGAGTCGTTTTGCAACTATGTGAGTGCGGGCTCGGAAGTGGTGGCAACAGAGCAGCTCCTGGATGACGATATTGTGCGCCCTGTCAGTGATCATAACGAAACCAGTGACGATGACTCTGTCAACGAACAGGAGACAAACGTGCCCACGGTGTCGGAGGCATTAGACGCGGTGGACGTACTGCGCCGCTACTTCGGCGCTCACGAGGGCGGCGAAGATGGCTTGAACATTGCGGCCGCAGCTGAGCGAGCCATCGTTCGCATCAGGAAGATGCATCAACGTCCAATTACGGACTTCTTTGCAGCTAAGTCTGCCTGAAATGCAAGCTGTGTATTTTGAAGTGCATTAAAACAGGTGCATGACTTTTTCCTTTTTATTTGGGAATGCGGTTATTTTGTTGCATACCACCGTGTGGTGGGATGCTATTTCGCCCGCTATTTTTTTGGGGTAAGTACAGTGCATAACATTTGCGGTAAATGCCCGCTACGGCTATAACGAAATGTTGATTACAACGAGCAAATAGCGGTGGCCCTCCAATTTCGTTATAACAAGGTTTAACTGTATTATACTCAGTTTTTTATGTATAGGGTTCTTGAATAAGAATGGCTATTTGGGCTAGTTGGTTTGAATTCATGGTAATAAGGGCTGCAGCGCGAGCACGAAGGTGCTAGAAGAAACAGACGAAAGGCGAGGTAAGAAAAGCAAAGAGGACAACACGAGCGCTGACTACCGCCTGAATTTTATTATTCGCAGCACACATGATAATATATACACCAGGCAACCTTTTAACAGCAAATGTGAGCAACGTGACATATTCTGGGGAATGGTCTGATAAAAAGAAGGTACAATGATAAAATGGCTAACCCTTATCTAAAAGCGCGAACTCTTTGTCATGCAAGGCCACCGAAGGTTGGCTCACGCATCCGTCACCATGTTTTCTAATAAAATATGCTTCAGCTATTTCACGAGTTCGCGCTTTTAGATAAGGGTTAGCCATTTTATCATTGTACCTTCTTTTTATCAGACCATTCCCCAGAATATGTCACGTTGCTCACATTTGCTGTTAAAAGGTTGCCTGGTGTATATATTATCATGTGTGCTGCGAATAATAAAATTCAGGCGGTAGTCAGCGCTCGTGTTGTCCTCTTTGCTTTTCTTACCTCGCCTTTCGTCTGTTTCTTCTAGCACCTTCGTGCTCGCGCTGCAGCCCTTATTACAATGGGTTCTTGAATAATTTATCAGCCTAAGTACCGTATTTACTCAATTCTACTGCACCCTCGATTGTAACGTGCACCCGGTTTCCACGACGAAAAAAAAAAGACATTGATTGTAACGCGGATCCATTTTCCTCATTGGCCCACACGATCACACCACTCGAGAAAAAGACTCCTTTCGGGAGCGTTTTCCGTTTAAATACGAGGTACGGGAGAAGCTTGTGCCTATCTGACGTGCAACGGAGCATTGCCGTCACTCTAGTTTTACCGTGGCCCGATGTCAGCACGTGAACTTGCTTCGCCCCCTTCTTCTCGACGGTTGTGGTGCCAGGCATGTCGAAGTAAATAGGCCTCTGATCGGCATTCCCAATTTGCCCAAGCAGGGAGCCGTTGTTGTGCCACAAGTTTAGGATGAACCTCTGAAAACTGAAGCTTTTCTTTGTACTCCTCCGGCAACTTTTGGCATATGCCCGTTCGCCTTCAGAGGGAAAAGTCTTTCCTCTTTATAAACTTAGTTAGCCAGCACCTGCTCGCTTTGAACTGGCTCCACGTTAGACCTTTTTCTAAGGCTAATTGCATAGCCTGCACTTGGAGCAGCTCTGTCGTCACGAGCCGCTGTGCCGCTCAATGCTCAATCACGTACTCGCCGAGCAGCTCTTCAATTTGCGAAAACCGACCCTGCTGTGGTCCACTGAAGCCTTTGCGTGAATCTTTGCTGTCGACAATATTCTGCTTTTGTTTCCGCCAGTCCCGCATGCACGTTTCGGGAACTCCGAACGACTGCGATGCAGCCCGATTTACGTCGGTTTCGGCACACGCGATGACTTTTCTTTTAAAAGCGGCACCGTGGTGCACTCGTCGAGTTTTTGGAGTCGGCCCTTCCATGCCGTCGATGCTAATGCACACCAAGTTGACAAACTCCTCAGCACACGTACGAAGTGCCGCACATGGGAAACACATAGGCAGAAATGGCCGACGCGCCATGCCGACGCACGTAGGGGGCGGCCATTTTGGAAATGCCGATGGCAATAGAATGATCGTATTCATTTTTTTTTTCGTACTCGATTCTAACGCGCATGCGATTTATGAACTCGCGTAACCGGAAAAAAGGTGCACGTTTGATTCGAGTAATTACGTTAATGCTTCCTTTCCCTCTGACACGTTTCATCTAAACAAATTAGCAGTCTCAACACGACTAGATAGCCTATGAGCTTTGGAAGCCAGCTGCCCGCCCATTAGCTCACGCACCAGGCACAATGCCTGTGGCTCGAAAACACTCACTTTTCGCAGGGCGAGAAGTCGATGTACTTGACGCCAAAATGGCTGAACCGCATGATCTGAGCATAGCTGGGCCCGCCCCACAGGGCAATGCCCTGCTGGTGGAAGGTGGCAAAGTAGGTTCCCAGCGGAGACCACATCACACCGCCGTCGGACCAACGCTGCGCAATGGGAGCCAGACACGAGAGGGCGTAAAACCACAGAATACTTACAGGCACTCTGTCAATGAACTTGCAAGCAATACCTGAGCAAAATGTCACATATATTGATCACATGACATTTACCAGCTTCCTATCCATCAACACTGTGCAAACAGATCAAACACAAGACGACACCCTGGGGCTAGCGTGCATGAGGCTAAATGAAAACATGCCTAAACCTCCACACACTCCAACTTAGGTCCATCTTTCTTCAGGATATTCCTTTTTTTGCCTGTTGATTCGTTCATTCTTGACATAGTGGGACACTTGCCAGGGATGCACATTTTTTCATGCATCGACCACTCTCCAACGCGACATCCTGGTTGAGAGATGCCATTTCTGTGCACTATTGAAAAGCAAGAAACTACAAACACAAAGCTTATATCAAGCATTCTTGTTGATTAAACTTTCTTTATATGACTAGTGGTTTAAACATATTGCCATTCATGACTGCTTCAGGGAAGGTAGTATCATACCTCATGAGTCACTAGACATGAGGTGTTTAGGCAAAAATTTTTGAAAATATAATCACACCTCACTATAAGAAAGTCACATCTGCCACAAAAATACTTCATTATATCGATAAATTTCGTTATAAACATATCTATTCACACTGTATCTATGGCAAAACTATATTTCGTCACTTACTTTTTTATGTACGTGTTCGTTCTATCGAGGTTAAAGATCAGTTGTTTTTTTTTTTAAGTTTCTTCTGGAACTTTTACTGGCAGCAGATAAGTGGCATATGTACTTTGAGTGGGTCATCGAAAATTGGTTTGTGAAGAAATATAGCCCAACTGACTGCATAATAATTAGATAACTATTCACACATTGATTATTATAATTGCCTCAAAATAAACAAAAATTCATTGTAACACTTCCATTAATTTTCACTTTGGTCTCCAAAACCTCAGCATTGAATTAAATAAATTTAACAGATTCATTAAAGTTACCTCATAAGGCAGGTCGCAAAGGGTTAATTTCTATTCTCTGGTTTCAATTAATCCGTTTTCGTGTTACGAGGCATCGCAAATGCCGACGGACCCCTTGTACTTACCTTTCGCTAATTCGCAGTGAATTATCCTCACACCAGATGGTGCGACCAACCCGTTGCTACACCGAAATGAGTCCCAATCGGTACTGTTCAGATTTGAAGCTGGCATTATTCCGTGAAAGCAAGCGAATATTTTGTTTCCGCACATATGATTGCTTCACAAGCTTAGACATTGCCGCTGTACAGTTGAGAAATCGAGCAGTGAGCAACCTAGTCAAAACAGTCACTCGTAAACCTGAGCGAGAATCAGAAAATTCGTCATAAAGGTATATTCTTAACACTACTACGTAATTGTAAGACTATTCTTTATTTACTTTGTCATAAAAATATTTAGTTATATTCAGCTTTGCTATAGCTACCGTAATTATTCAAATATAGGTGGACCTTTTTTTTCCGAAAATGTTGTTCACCAGCTATCGACCTATATTCGTGACCAAAGAATCTCGACCTACATTCACAATCAAACCAACAAAATCGCCGAGCCTATAGCGTTCCAACTGCCAGGCTAGCTGTTCTTTAAGCGGTTCCTGCTGCATTCGCATGTTATATAGTAGCTAGAAATTCTGGACAAGCCTCATGCTCAAAATAGCGCTACAAAAGTTCAACAGCCTCTTTAGCTGATCGGTCTGGTGGTACCACTGCAGTGACCGAATCGTCATCACATTCATCGCTGGAAGGTTGATCTTCATCTTGGACTTTCATCTTTCATCTTGATCTTCATCTTGGACTCGTCAGTCTCTTCACAACAGATACGAACATTTTCATCAATTGATTCATAGTCCTACAGCGCGAAAGGGGCAGAGGGCACGACCTGACTGAATACTGTCTCAATGTCGGGATCAGCAGGGCTTTCTTCTTCATCAGGTACAGCTTTCCTGCACTTGAAAGCCAGCATGGTGAAAGCATGTGTGTATTGTTGCCTTCACTTGCTCCCAGGCACAAGCCAAAATGTGGATGACTGCCAATAAATCTATGCTGTAGCATTTCCCGCTGCCTGCTCTAGGCAGCATTTGATGGAGCCATTGTCTGCGGTAATGAACTTTATTGTTGTGAATAGCCCCTTGATCCATCGGCTGGATCACTGCCCTTACATTGGCTGGCGAGAACTTGACCGTGGGCTTGGGAATTATCCACGATGAAGACAACTGTCCTGCCTTGCCTCGTAAATCTTGCATCTTCCTCCCGAAGCGAGTTTTCAAAAATGGCTATGGTCATTCACGCTCTTTGGTTCCCATGGTACGCAACGGGAAGGTGTCGAACGCCTTTGAAACAATGTGGGTGCCTTTGTTTTCCTATTCCCAACAGCTTCAATTTCTCATCTCCTGACATGTTTGCACCCACCAGCACAGTGATGCGATCTTTACTGCGTTTTCCTCCACTACAGGCTTCGCCTTTGAAGGCGAGAGTCTTTGATGGAAGCACCTTATAAAAAAGACCCATCTCGTCGACGGTGAAGACGTCTCGGGGCTCAAAGCTCGTGAAAATTTCGGTAAGTCGCCCCTGTTGCCAGTCGGTGCAAATAACCCTGTTGACTGCACCACTCTCACCTGAGATTGCATTGAAGACTAGGCCATGGCGTGTTTTGAAGCGGCTGAGCCATCCGTCGCGCAAGACAAAATTCTTAGCACCCATTTGCATGGCGATCTCTCAAGCTTTCTGCTCGAGAATTGGTCCACTTATGGGCAAATCCGAACTACGTGCACGCTTGAAGCACAGAACAGGAACTTTTTTTAGTTGTTCAAAAGGCGCCGTCCGCATTCGTTTAGATGTAAAGGTCCCGTTCTTAACAGTGCCTTCAATCTTTTCTCAGTCTTTCCAGATCGGTGACAGCGCCTGTTTCGAAATGTATTTTTTCGCCACCTCAGTCTTGGGCAGGCTGCTTCGATCAGGATCCTGAAGAATTCAAAACTTTTTTTTTTTTTTATGCGAGAGTACATGGTGTGGCTGCTTCCTTTCCATCGGGCTGAAATAACACCAAGATCCACCGCACTTAGCCGCAAGAATAGGCCTAACGCAGAATTGACTCGCCGACTTGGTTCCCACGGTTGCCCACAGCCACAAGCGAGAATGGCTACAGGATTGACTTGTGTCAATCTCGAGTTGTTGCCATAGTTGTGAGGCTACCTTCGGCATGAACAAGTCTATGCTGTGTTTAGAGCTTGTGCCCTTTAACCGTAGGTGACCAATAAGCACTGTTTCAATTAACCACTGAATTTTACTGCGCAACACATAGAAATCCAGCCATATGAGCCCGTTTAGTTCCGTTGATGAGGCATTTTCATTTAAGCGAGTTACATTTATTGGGAGTCCGCTGTACCATAAAATCTGAAATAAAGACCCCCCTCCTCCTTTCCGACTGCCTAAGTAATCGAGAAAAAAAGTTATTCATGCAATAGCCGTGTACCATCCCCGCAGAATCCAGCCGCTCCGCCATGTTTACGAAGAAACCCACAATTTCCCTCGGTGTAGGCTCTGAAGTCGCTAGTCCCTTGACTGCCTTCCAGCGCGCAGCCGCACTACTGGCCTGAGGCCTCGGCCGTCTCGCACTTTGTTCATTGTACGATCGACGTAACAGGTTGATGGTTCGCTGCACCGTGCTCCCTACCGGGCTGCAGAAAATAGGCACCTTCTTCTAACCACCACCACCATTTGGTTGTGCGGGGTTGCGACTATGTCACATCGACAGAGCTACACAGGGGACTTCGGGACACTTTTTACCGAGGACTCGAGCAATTGTGCTGTGCAGCGCGAGTTCTGTGTAGATGAGACGATTGGGGGTTGCCGAAAGCAGTGGGACCGTCTGCGTGCAAATGTCGGCTTCGTGCCTTTCACGGCTCAGCGATCAGCAGCGATGGCAGCAAGGACGACCTCGTTTGGGAAGTCGCGAATGCTTGCAAAGAATCCGATGAGGACATCATCTTGCCCATCTGACAAGATGACGACCCCGGCAGTGATTAGGGCGCTATGTTGTGTAAATAAAGGTGTGCTGCGCTTCAATTTGTTTCTAAACTAAAAAGAAAAACGGTCGACCTATATTCGAATATATTTTTTTTTATCTTGTAGAACAATAGCAGTAGGGGCCAACCTATGTTCGTGCCCGACCTATATTCGAGTAAATACGGTAGGTTTGAATGTAGATGCGACTCTGGTGTCTACGTAAACCCACTGTGCCTGTTATTCACATGAAAATAACGCTGAGCAGGCTGCTAATTGATACAGTAGAGCCTCGTTTGAGCTGTATTCAACAAATTGGTTATGAGACTTTGAGAACGCTCACCTCTCTGTCCTTGATCACAGTAGGCTCTTGTGTGCTGTTGAGGTATATGGCCACACGCTCTCCTCCACAGTACATCACACTGTACTCGTCGTAGCAGTCGGGGTTCTGCAGCCATTGCCTCAGGTTTCCCTGCAAGACGATGCAACTTTAAGGACTCCGATGCCCTGAATGCGCAGAAAAGCTGCAGAGATAGCTCAGCGGCTGGATACCGAACCGTCTCTCACACATCGTTACATATGGCCATCATAGCTGCCAGCAATTTCTTTTTGAGGCCATTCAAGGTGCAACACGAACTTTCACGTGAAAAAGGCAGCTCAGGGAAAGACCCCACCGTGATAACGACTGTCAAGGAGCCTGTGTTTGTGCCTTTCTGCTGTAGACGCAGCAGGCATGATTTGAAAGATGATTTGCGTGTTCCCAAGTAAATACAAATAAAGAAAGACACGTCTACCAACTTGAATATTTCAAAACTAAAGCATTGAAAGGCAACAAGGCACCCGTGACGAGAAAATTGACTAAACTTGGGCAGGGCTGCTGGGACGCAAGTGTTTGGCACGCAAACAAAGACAATCGGCCAAGGTTAGAGATGCGCTGGCTGTAGCTCGAGTTCACCGGTCGCATTCAACACCCACACAGGAAACACTTCACGGTGTCAATGTTGAAGTTTCACTTTTGAATGTGTTCCCTCTGTGGTGCTGCTATATTGTCAATAACCAGAAATTAAACACGACAGAATTTCGGGGAAAGATGCCAGCTTGATGCAATGAAAGATCACTGAACAGAAAATGCAGTTAGATCCAACAACATTTCGTAGTCAACTATTTATCTCTAGTGGTAAACAAGCGGCATCGTAATCGCCCGTAGAAGCTTACGCGGTTTATCAAGCAGTTGTAACGAGCCACGTTCCTCTCATACCATTACAACAAAGCAACATGACAACAGCCACATTACAACGCAACGTAAAGAAAGAGGGAAGAAGAATGCATGTTATACGCCCATTTGAACACGCTCTCTTGGTCCACGTATTTTCGTACGTTGTGACAGGTCAAGTTGCTTTACAGCCCGCACAGTTCAGGAAAAAAAAAAAAAAATTATATCAATAACACATCAAATTTCTAATTTCTGAAGATCTATGAACTGTGCTGAAAGAACAATACATATTTGAAATTTCCAAGTAACATCGCATTCACTGCAAGTTTTGAGAGAAAAGTTTTCCAGAATTTCAGAACAATGAACAGCCAGTTTATGCCATGCATTACCTGGCTTCGTTGCCTAGCAACATTGTGTTGCTGCATATATAAATGAAAATTCGAGATGATAGGTTGGTTAAAACTTTTCGTTCCCAAGAACACCTAAAGCTGCCTTTTTGATTATTTTGTTCCTACCCAAATATGCACGATGCGAAAAGACAAACAAAAAGAAAGTCGAAGGAAAATTTCGAGAAGTTTCTTACGTGGTCGACGTATGGCTGTGGCTGGGGTGGTTTCCAATCCTCTGGGATGTTCTCATATCTGCATAATTAAAACGCACCACGCTAAAACAAACAAGGGGTGAAAGGATGAGGGGGAAAAGCAGGAAAAAAAAACAGGGGTGCTACCACCGAACAATTCTGTGGCTGTTGTTGCGTCCCTTGCCACTATTCGACATCTGCCGTTGGTCGAAGTTTCTGTTCTAGGCTTTCTTTAGCAATGGCAGGCCACTAACGGTAACAAAAGGCACAGAAAATGTCATAAGATCACAATAGCACAACAGATATCCCTCATATATCGACCAACTGAGAACTTATTTCGTCCTGATGTCATGTGAGTAGACAGCTGGCATCGCGAGTTGTGCCACCATGACAGGAAACGGTGCAGAATAACGCATTTGTTTTTCCTACATTCAGAGGTGGTTTGGGAGCACAATATGTTTGACCGTGATTCCAACCACGGCTACCGCTTACTTCTGGAAGTCTGTGAAGAGGTTGACAACAAAGGAGTGTTGCTTGTCAAGCTTGTGTCCGTTCGTCACCTTGACGGCCTCCTGCGCCTGCTGGGGATTCTTGTACTCCAAGAACATGTACCTGCAGGATGTGATCCAAAAGGACACGCATTAGCTCCAAACTGACAGAACTTGTGACTTCATTTTCGAAGCCCCGATCGTTCCAAGACAGCATCCACTTTCAAAGCAACTGAAGTCATATGAAGGATGCAAACAGACTACAGTGAAATCCCGAGCAAGTGCTCCCTTGCCATTTTCAGGAGCTCCGTAATAGGTGCCACTTATCGTGCAAGTACATCCTCCTCCGGCCAATTTTATTTTATTTTTTTTCCAACATGTTCTTTGCTACATCAATTTGCAGCGGCAGTTCCAGGAGCGCTACTTGGTAGAGCCTTCACATGCGTGCCTGATTCCTTATTACATTCACAGCTGGGCACCTCGGTTTTGCCATCTGAGCTGCCACAAAAAAGTCACCCAAAGAATGTTTTTCTTCCCTTATCATAACACACGAACTTTCACACGAAGACCCCCTCCAGTTCAGTAAAGGCAGTAACCTAATGCGTATAATACAAAGCATTTCACCAGAAGCGCAGCCAAGCGTTCTTCTTAGAGACACTTTCTTCGACATCTTAAATTGTGGTCCGCCAAAAGGCAAAGCCTCCCCACCTCCTCGAAATCCAGTCTGATTATCTTTCACAAAGAAGGAGGGGGCGAGAGATGCTTGCTCGGTATTTAATGGCAAGTGAACAACTTACAATTAACCAGGCTTCTAAAAACAGCTGCACCGATAATAAGAGATGCTCTAAAACATTAAAAACCTCTTCCATTATTGAGCAAAATGAAGAAAGGCAAAGCTTGGCATGTGCATTCATGACATACCAGTTTATCATATTTTGCAATGCTCCAATTGTTTCCTTACTTCGTGCCAGAAATAGAACCTTCATCCACACAGTTAGATGCGTGACACCTCGTTTGCTACAGACAACAGCAGCAGTCATGCGTTCATGTCCTGGCAACAAGCAAAAATGCAATGCAAAATGGCAGGTGTCCCCGGTAAAAGATCACATTGCCGTGTCAGAAACAACTTAGCATCAACAAGGCCACGGTCGATATAGCATCAATTACAGAAAAACAATTGCTACAAACACGCAGGAGACCACCCCTAAAGACCGCCTTTAGTGATTTGTTCCAGCATAGGGCCTCTTCGTACCATGCCGTAGCCAAAAATGGCAATGCGTAACAAGCTTTCCTTGAAGATGGTGTTGACGATTACGTCAGTGCGACAGCCGAACAGATCCTGCATAACAGTAATCTTCACACAGGTTGTGTGCTTTTCCCTAGGGCCATGTCTCAAGGCCAACCGAGCAAGCGCAAAACGATCGTCCCTGATGAGGAAACGCATGCCTGCCTGGAACTCACCCTCTCGTCTTTCCTGTCTCGTCGACAGGTATGTATTCGGTGTTGATCTCGCCAAACTGAGAGTAGATCTTCATGAGAACAGTTTTTAACTTCTCTATCCGGTCGCTACCGACTTGGGGGATGTTGTCAACAACGATGACGCTCTCGACGCCGTCGGCTTCAGCGGGCCGGTGCTGCAGGATGTCACCCAAGAGCTCTGAAGGAAAGGTAAAGGCACAAAGGTTGTGAGATGAAGCAAGAACAACGACAACAACAATGAAATCGATCAGCAATAAGGAGTGAAGACTGCAGTGATTGACACACTTGCTACTTTCTTTCTTAAAGTCGACAAAGACGACAAATGCACAAAAGAATCTTTCTACAAGGGCTCATCAGCATGTTAGATACAGCCTCTGACACAGCCAAATGAACCGATGAGGCATCTAAGTGAGGGCAATCGCAGAGAGTGTTAAATGGTCTCATCTAACTCTAGTGTACGTAATGCGACATAAAATGAAATGAATTGAAATAGATGAAAAATCACCCTTTCTGTCCCCGAGATCTGAACCCACCAGCTTTGAGTGGCGCGTGCCTGATGGTTGTAACTCAAAGATTGTGGATTCTAATCCCACAGACAGAAAAGGGGATTTTTTCATACAATTCACTTCTATTTACATCACAATCAGTACACTACTGTTAAAAGACCACAATTAATGTGTCATATGCTTTCCCTGGCCTAATGGCCTTTCTGCTCTATTAGCATAATGTGTCAGAATAGTAAATCTTATGGGAAAAAAAACGGCAGTTTCGCTTCAGTTATTGTGGCTGATATACGTGTGTGGTGACAGTAGAGGTTTATGTTTATGTTTGGAATTGTTACTTTTGGCACTATGTTCAAGGTTGTCTTTCTTGGCCTGTTGCAAGCATAAATAAATACTATGTTGCCTCCATATATGTAAACATGATAGCACTAAAGAAATTGTTTTGCAGAAATTCAGGTGTCAGTGGTGTCGGTTGTGAAGGCCTGCTTGTTCTACCACTCTGCAGATAAACGAGCAGGTGTTCTGCCACAGTTACACCACTGTTTCCGAAAGATAAAAATCTCGTGAAATGTCATGGAATGCAAAAAGTCTCAATGCATGAAATGTTGCACAGCATAACTGCTGAATTGTGCCAGGAGTTAAAACGTGGGAATCGTGCAAAGAAGCGGATGTTTCAAAAGCCCACCTATTATTAAGCGTTTAGACATATTTAATCATTATCAGTAGCAAAGTAAACTACTAGCTTTGTGTGTTGCCTTAAGGACACACGCTAGGCCCTTTGTTGATTTGCAAAAGGAAGAATTATGGCTTAGTGGGCACTTCGTTATTGTTTTTTTTTTTTTTTTCAGAAGACGTTTTAGAATAGTTTGAAATGACCAATGCTACAAATACAAACGTTCCTTTTTTTGTGTCATGGTTCATTTGATTTATACGTAGAGTTTAACGACCCAAAACCACCACATCATTACGAGAGATACCGTAGTGAAGGGCTCCGGAAATTTCGACCACCCGGGGCTCCTTAACGACGTGCTTGTGGCGTGGTTCAGGTGTCAACTGAGAAGCAAATGAAGGCTATCGATCAAGAAGGTGAAGCGCAACAAGGTGCAATCACACTATTGTGTTCTACTCTTGAGGCAAAGTTCATCTGAACAGCTTTTTTTTTTTACTGATTTTTCAGATTAGGCTCACCCTCTAATTAGAAGAATCTAATAAATTACAACAATGAAGACAAATTTAGGCTAGAAGTGTTTTGTAAATCTTACAATGACAAATGAACTTCCGATTCATCTCCACATTTATTGCCTGTAACTATTAGGCCTGCCCAGCATCCCCAACAGAATGCGCTGATGCCGTATCTTGCATATACTGACCTCTTCAGGTATTCTATTTTTCCAAGGACCATACATGAATGGTCCTAGTGAAGCAAGGTTATAGGACTGCACAATTACATTGCAGTACTTATAAATGGCAGCTGTTTACTGTTGGCTGCAATGACATCATTGCACACACATTGCCGCATTTTCAACGATACGTTTTCATGCATACTGCCCGCCCTGCTTGGTCCCAGAGTCTGCAGTACGTGTTGGTGCTCCAGAGAATGCCACAACTTCTGGCACGGTTTAGCGCCCCAAAGCCTTGTCATACAAAGTAATTTTGTTGCAAGTACTTAAAATGGATACCTAACTTTACTGACCAACCTGAAATGGCTTGCAGTGGTGGTTTAGTGAGTACAAAGTTCCACTGCTAAGAATGAAGTTGTAGGTTCAAATTCAATCTCTTTTCTGTGGTGGTAACATGTTCGTGCAAAAACATTAGGCGGATAAATTTTGGTGCTCCTAAAGAACCCCAGGTGGTGAAAATACATTTGGGACTCTCCATAAAGGTGTGCAAAGGATATTTCAACTTTCGCAACTAAAATATCCTGATTCAGCTTTAAAGTTATGACTTGAATCTCAGAACAAAGTTCGGGTTAACAGGAATGCCCTATTGACACGTTTGCCGGTTCCGACAGAGCTGATACGCGAGGCCTTAAGTCCTAGAACATTTGATCAATGGTTTCTTTTTAACTTGTGAACCAAAGTTTCAATTCAGAAATTTTAGCTAACATACTTTTGGTTCCGGTACTGTACTCCTGCACAATTCCAGAAAAATATGACATGTGCGAGTGGAATCTTATATGATAGACGTCGGAATCCACTGCAAAGCTCCATCAATGCTTCACCACAGAGCACAAAAAATTGCCAGACTGCAAGCAGTGTGAACTTGTTTCTGAGTAAACTACATCACACACATACCTTGTGTTATGTCAGCAACCAACACAGTAATTCCAATGCAAAGCTTTTTCCGTCTAAGAGGCCTCAAAGGAAAATTCCGCACAAGGAAAAAAAGTAAAAAACGTGAAACAAACTTGAAACTTGATTATCATTCTTATGTGATTCTTAAAGAGAAAAGTGAGCCCAGTAACTGTCTGCATCAGAGTGCGACACCTCAACAGTAGCTCACAAGGGATGGCGGTGAGGAGGGATTAAAAGGATAGGATTAAAGGTACAGAGATAGAGAGGGGGAAAGAGATCGTGTTGCAGGAACAGCAACACCCAGAAGCAAGGAGAAGATAGGAAAGATGGACACGGTCGCAGGAGTCCGAGGACGGGGCACCACTCAGCGAGAGCTCTTGTCGGCGGCAGGAAATGGCGTAAGGCGAGCCCAGTCGGCCAGAGCTGCGCTGTCATCGGAGATCGCGGGGCCCAACCGGTTGGCACGAAATCCTGCAGCACTTATGTAGTGCTTTCATAGTGTTTCCACTGTGTCATGCATTATTATAGATCTCCACATTGACACAGGCAATCACGTGGCTTTGCTAACCTGGCTGCCTGCTATGCTGCTTCCCAATATCCAGTTAGACAATATAACAAGTTAGTATACGACTGAATGCCTCGACAGCAGATACTTCCATAACAAGATAACCTGTATAATGCAGGTTTCCTCATGGCACGGCAACGTTGCGAGCGTTTTTGGTTACAGCGCAAAGACGACGAAGACGGAAAAGAGAAGGAGCAGAAACGAGTGTTGTTGTGAGCATTGCTGTGTGCCACCAGTATAGAAAAAATGTAGAGTCACAAGAGCTTTCTATAATGGCGTTTGTCTGTACTTGTCTCCAGCAATTTGAATAACTACTGTATGCAAGTGGCAGCGCAGTAAACTTTAGACATTAATGGCACAAGTGCCCAGTAGGTTCGCAAGACACGTTTTAGTGTGGGGACTACAGATGTTTTTTTGTTTTGTTTTTTCCACGAACTGAAGTTCTCTTACAAGCACCTAAACCTAAGTACGGAGTTATTCTTCCATTTTGCTCTCATTGAAATGCAGCTTCCACGACCAGCAATACAACCCACAATACAAACAACGACCTTGATATTAAAGGTGCAACAGCCTCTGTCGATAATCTACGATGACAGTTAGCTGATGCAAGCAGGAACATTTGCGTGTTCGCTCTGCGCCAGCAACATGCTGTGCTCGACGACATGTTCCAAACTGTGACCATCATTGAAAAATGAAAGATAATGCTGTGGCATTTTCGCCAAACGACAGACTGTAGTTATTCAGCAATAATGTACTGAATGTCAAAGACTCCTACAACATTTACTAGAGCTTTTCCACCTATGTATTTAGTAATTGAAATTTTATCTGTTCAGGCAGCACACGAGTGACGAAGAGGCTTTGTCCTCATAAGGTTTAGAGTTCAATCTGTAAACACTCCAGCCATCTCACCCGAAATTGCATCAAAGCAGTGTTTAAACAGTGCTACTGTGTGTATATGTGAGGGTCCTGTTGTTGTTTTAAACACATTAGGGTGCCACAATTCGACCTCATCATCTTATTGGACATTCGTTTCAAGCTTGCGGCTAGAAAGGCCGGTCCCGCAAGTGCGTTATCTTTCACGCTAATAGTCCCAAACAAGTTCTTGCCGCGAGAAATGCAGCTACATTGGGAACACAACGAAAGGCCTTACAATCTGCGTAGTCAGAAACATCACGATATGTAACCAAACTGAAAGCGACAGCAGATGAAAGTGTACGCTATCAAGAAAACCGGGTTTTCCTCGAAGATAGCAAATCTAAAACCAGCGTTACTATCGTGTGAATGGAAACTTAGAGAGCCCAATCCAGCGTTGGCGGTTAGTGTTTATCACGAAGATGTGCAGCCTCACACCGCCATAAGGTAAACAAACCCTGACTGCGTAGCTTATAACGATACCATATATTTGGCGGCTATATGTGCCCGCGAGATATCGGCGCAAAAAAATTGCTAAAAGTCAGCAGGCGGTTTTCAAAAATGTGGCACGAGGGTAGTTGGGGAACGCGGCTTACAATATGGTTCGGTTAAGATCGCGGAATGCGGCGTTAGTATTCCTCGGTTCAAGTGTTACGACGGACAAGTTACTAAAGTTGCAAAGAATTATTCCTTATCGTGCGACTAAGCGTGAATTCAAGCGCTGGCAGAGAATAAACTGGGACTGAAGTAGCCGGCCCCCGTATTTTTTAAGCCTACGGGGCCTCGGACAAAAAACAAAAATAGCCGGAAATGTGTCAAAGCCGCTAAAGATCACTTCGCGCGTATCAGACTGCGAAAAGCTTTACAGTGAAGACCCACAAAATTTCCCGAGCTAATTCGAGCGATCGTCAATAGTGAACACGAAGTTCGCGCTTACAGGAGCGAAATATAAACAAAATTGGGGGGGTAATCACTCCAGGCGGTACCAGATTGCCGGCGTGGAACCGGCCATTCAACCGAAATAAGTGACGTGCTTCAGGGGTAGGCGCGTAACAAATACCGGGCAAAGCGATTGTTTCGGCGCACATCGAATGCGCCGTGTTTCTGCGTGAACGTGGCACCATAATCGGTGAAGCAATTAGCGAGATTTTTACACCACCACCGTAAAGACCGATCGTGTCAAAGTAGAACGGCGTCAGAGCGATCGTGGGGAGGGGAGGAGGGGGGTTCCCAGGCTGCGAGCACGTGCACCTCGGACAAAACGTTTTGAGCGAACCTTCGTCGGTGATGTCGTCAACATAGTCCTCGGGATCACTGAAGCTTGGAAGCTCGTCGTCTCCATTGAGCACACTAGTCTTTTGCGGGTCACCGTCCGTCTCCTTTTCGCTGTGAGCCATGCCTCCTTTCTCGACCATTTTACAACACCGTGGCCATGAGGGAAGCCAAAAGGACTAACTGCGCGCATGCGCGTGCCGGGAGGGCATTGCCAGAAGAGTTCGCCGCACGTCCGCAGAAAGCGCCACGTACCACCACCACCAAGCTTTGCTTCAAACATGGCGGCAACAACACTTGGTGTTGCCGTACTTCCACTTGTCAAAACAAAGCACGGCCTTTCAGATTAGCAATCATTTAACCGTAGAGTCTGTATATTAACTCTATGCTTTTAGCCAAGAAAAGTGTTGCCAAGAGCTTTCGCCACACTTCCGCAGGGAGTGTCACATACCACACGTACACACTATCAAGGAGTGGTACACACCATAGAGTTTCCTAAAAATATGGTACACACCGTTTATAACACACGCTCTCGACTTGTTAAAACATGGCAGCAAATCAATGATGTATGCTTTTGACGCACGTTGAAACAAAATTTGGTTTATTACCATAACCTTCCAGATAGACAGCATTTACTACATCTCTGCTAGACATATACTATGAACATGTTATTCCAAAACTAACGCAGAGTTTTTTAGCCACTATTTTTACTTAATTTGACTCTAGAGATATGTTAGGACGTCACAAAGTAACTCTAGACATGACGTTTAAATATTGTTTAAATGGCATGACCTCTGGGACTGGTTTCATAACAAAACAGCGTTAAGATGCAGATAGCGCAGATGTGGGCAGTACAAACCACGGAAAAAAACATCCCATAAATTACTGGGTGTGACTATATAGTGCATTACCAAAACAAAACTTTTTTTTGTTATTTTGTTGATATATTCTACACACACGCTACCTTCACTTTCAGGGCGTGGCTAACACTTCTGGCACACTCTAGCGTGGCTGTCGCACATGTTTTTGTTTTGTTTTCTGCTCTGCTACAATTTGTAAGGATTTTAAGTTTAGACGCGCGTATTCAAAACAACGTCCTATGTTATGGTAATCACTTATTACCGACTAAATTTACCAGACAGTTAGCGTTAGTCTTAGATCACGCAAACCGAATGTGTTTACCTGCTGCAACAATGTTACTATACTTATTTCTATGCCTGCTGCTACTGAAACACACAGATTGCCCTTAATGTCATCAAACAAGTTTTGACTACGGTTGTTTGCAGCTAAAAAACAACGCAACTGCATGCGCCAGCAATGGCCTCCGAAATTGTTACACACAAAGCTCGGAGACGGATGTGTTTACCCGCTGCCACAGAGTTAATATACTTATTTGTATGCCTGCTGCTACTGAGACACCCAGATTGCCACTGATGTCATCAAACAAGTTTTGACGACGGTCGTTTCTAGCTAAGACAACAACGTAACTGTGTGCGCCAGCAATGGCCTCCGAAGTTGTTGCACACAAAGCTCGGAGGCTGTGGCTCTCTTTTGTATGGACATATAAAACAACATAAGTGAGGTCCTATAGGTCGCGCTAGTTTCGTTGTCCGAAGCGGGCCGCTCTCTGATGCTGAACTTTTATTTTTTTTTACAGATGGCGGGACGTTTTAATTATACGCCTGTCCGTCAGGATCAGGTTGAACAGGCTATAACCATCAGAATACAGGTTGCTGCCATGCGCTCGCACGCTGCCTCTGTTGATACAGCACAGTGGGGCGCATTTCTGACACACAAATTGGGGGTCGTCACGTTCGACGAATGAAGCCGCTGTCGTGAACGTACGGGGCATTAGAAAATGGTGAACTCCGATTATGAACAATTACAGAAAGGAACTGAGAGGTTTCGATGACGCATTCGTCTTCAAACGCACTCGTCAATGCATTCGTCCATTGACTGGAAGAAAAAGATGGCCCGCGCCTTTGAGTCATCCCAGGGAGAAACTCTTTATGACCCCATACTGCGACTGCTCGAGAAAATATGAGGCTTTCCCCTCACAGGGACACCAAAGAGGTAAACAATTTTTCTCCTTTATTTTTTTCCCCCGAGAGTAAGTTGCTTTTTTCCCCTTGTAATTCCTAAGTCACCTCACTTGCCGCAATACGACGCTTGATAAGCGATTGATTGATTGATATGTGGGGTTTAACGTCCCAAAACCACCATATGATTATGAGAGACGCCGTAGTAGAGGGCTCCGGAAATTTCGACCACCCAAGGTTCTTTAACGTGCACCCAAATCTGAGCACAAGGGCCTACAGCATTTCCGCCTCCATCTGAAATGCAGCCGCCGCAGCCGGGATACGAACCCGCGACCTGCGGGTCAGCAGCCGAGTACCTTAGCCACTATACCACCGCGGCGGGGCTAAACACTCAGCTGATTGCGGCAAGAATTTACATACATGTTCGTCGCCATGAAATCAAGTCAATTCGCGAGGAGGCCTACGTCCAATAATGTGCAGAGTCGACCAGATATCTAAGGGGAACATCTCATTGTATCAAAGCTAGTGAAATGGGAACGATTATTCTACATCGCAGGATAAATTCACGTCATATGACGTCTAATCATGTTGTCGATTGCCACAATATTTTCGGAACACTGCATTAAAAGTAAGCTTCGGTGAGGTCTTGAATACTTCTGAGGCTTTCCCCATATGTGTCGATGACAATGGGCGTGGACAAAGATGATGTTTTTGATTATGATGATGATGGTGTTATGAAAAGGTGGTTAGGCCTAGTATTTGTTGCGTTTCCCAACTAACAAAGCGTTTTCGAGACAGCCAGAGTAAACGCGTAACTGCACTCCAACTAATGACGTTTACGAAATGAAGAATTATCCCGAAAGATGTACGTCTGTGAAATGAACATTAAAATGCACACTGGCGTATAGAATTTCACAGACGAATGTAAAAAATAATGATAATAATTGCTTAACGCGCACCAATACTCAAGAGGTTCCGGAAACTAAGAACATCTCTAAATGATTTTGTCTGTGAAGGACAATAACCCGCTAGCGCGGGCTGAGTTTCCATAATGCCTCCAATGTATGAATGCGGATGGCTTTGCGGATTAGTTTCCTTTCAGCCATGGTTGTATACACACTTCTGTGCACCAACACCAGCCCCCCTCCCCTCCAATGATGAAGGTGATGCTCCAACAAGCAGGGTTATAATGCTCACGAGAGACAAATGGATATTGAAATTGCGCTTCTAGCAAATCATCGTCATCATCATCTTTTCATCCCACTTTTAAGCCCTTTGGTCTTTCCAAATAATCTCCGATTCATCCCATCGTGTGAGCGATGATTACATTTCATCGTTGCGAAGTTTTTAAATTTCGTAACTCTAGCTATAACTCGCTGCTGTGGTCGACCGCGTTTCCTATCCCTCGGCAACTATTCCCTCACTCAAACTGTTCACAGGTTGTCGCTCCTCCGCCACACGGAGGCGGCCATAGTCCATTTGATTCGCCCGTTGCCCATAGCACTGCGTGAAAGAGTAATGCGCCATAAAATTAAACGCTTGGTGTTGAAAACGCAGCGTGTTTCTGACAGCACTAAAGGCACATGTGTACCTATAACTTCTAGCTGAAGTTGTTTTTCAGAAGTGTTTTCTGTGTATCTTTTACCGGCGGTTCGCGGTGTGTTGGACAAGGAAGCATGCCGATCAGCAAATGCATCATGAAAGACAGGCGCATGTCGTCATCATCATTATCTTCATAATCGTTTTCAGCCTGTTTCAGGTCCATCTGAAGGACGAACGCCTCTCCCCAATGATCTCCAGTACCATATCCAGCGCGAGCTGGTACCGTTTCATCCCTGCTAACTTCTTAATGCTGTCACTCCATCTTCTTGCCATCATCGACTGCGTTTTCTATCCCTGCAAGCCATTCTGTTTCTTTTTACTGTCCACCTGTTCTGCGTATTACGTGACCAGTCCAGGTCTATTTCTTGCACTTTATGTCGACTAACAAGATACCTATTGCCACAATTTTCCCTAACTCATTCTGCCATGTCCGACCTCTTAGCATATCGTCCCATTGCACGCTCCGCAGTCCTTAAGATTTCTTTATTTTCATTGTGGTCCGTCGTGTTTCAGCTCATTACGTTAGAACCGGCTGTTTTATAACTGCCGGGTCTTTTATATCTATAAGCGGCTATTCACGACAGGCTGGGTAACAAAGCATGAAACGCAACAGACGCATCTTTAAAAATTGCCGCGTAGAGTTTTCTTTTTTCGAGGAAGCTTGCCCGAAATCAGCCAAGAACAAAGAAAGCATGACTGGATTTGCGGGCGAATAGGCGGAACATAACGTGGGAGGGAAGTTTGCTAGAGTTCTCTTGTTTCAACTCTCCTGGTTTCGGCTGGGCGTAAGTTGCTTATTCATCATCCTCTACGTGGGAGTAGATGCATATGTCAGACTGTGTTTCTTAATGTTTAGATGATGACTATGCCGGAGTAAAAAAGCTGCCGATTCGAAGAAGAATTCTTGTAGAAAGACATTGTAAGAAGCTCCATATCAGGAACTGCTGTAACAGTTAGAAGGTAACTACGGTAGACACGTATGGCCTAACACTCTTCGGGGGTGGGGGGGTGCACACCTTGTTGATTTCGGGGTGTGTGTGAAGGGGGGGCGCTTCCTTGAAATGGTCATTCTTCGTTCCGCATGCCATGATGAAAAACCTTTCGTGGGGAGGGGGATATGGGCCTAGGGCGTGCCTCTTGTGTGCTACTAGTATACTACATATCATGCATAATTAACAGCACGTCACAATTAGCAACCAAGACTTCAAGCTCGTCATGAAGCGTCATGACGAGTTATTTGTGCCGCAGTCATGCGTTTATAATTTGAAATGTCCCAGCTATTTGGTAATAAATGTTTGGCTAAAAAGATTAAGCTAAGGAAGACTGGACGGCAATTCGTTTTGTCCTGCAGTTTCTCCTGCGTTGCGTTTCTTGGCATAAAAAATTGGCATGAGCACGCACCAAATAGTTCGTAAATGCATAACGACTATTACTCACAAAACGTTGTTCCCGTTTTTAATTAGTATGTTTCAATCTCCTGAAACTATAATTGCTTTGTGGAACCTGAGTTCCTCCGAAAGCGTGAGGAATACCGAATCATGCATGTAGCTTCGTCTACGCGTGACCAGTGAGAAACAAGAACCAGGTACAGCAGCGCCTATTGGTACGCGAGCAAGGACGACAGATAACCGACGTCATCGAATCCTACAAAATATTGCAATGGTCTCGTGGCACAAACACTGTCATAGGTGGAGCCCATTCAACAGGGGTGTCATCCAGGACGCTGTCAAATTCCACCATATTCTCAAATTTCATAATGGCCGAATATAAAACCATTCAGAAAGGAAGTAGCCACTCTCGGAGCCAATCAGCCTTGACAAATAATTCGGTATTGCCCAGATTAGCACACCAGGAAGAGACGGGAAGTCTTTTCATGGGTTTATGTCACGCGCTTTCCTCTGGCTGTTTTTTTCTGTTGATGAAGTTCTATGATATATATATATATATATATATATATATATATATATATATATATATATATATATATATATATATATATATATATATATATATATATATATATATATTACTTCATAACTTTCGCCACACCGGATGTACACGTGGAACTGTGCAACTGTATGCATCCTTTCAATTCTTTTAAATTTAATTCATTATTTTTTTATGCAGTGCTCTCGCATTTTTTGCTTTCATTCTGAGCGGCAAGCCAGATGTTCAGCAAGGCTTCATATAGGCCTTTTTGTTTCCATTATGTGTGTTTCATTTTTTTTTATTTTTTTACTGAACTTGGTACCACTATACCGTTTCGAACAATCAACGTTTATTCCTCCTTCCCCTCGTAAACTCTGTGAAAGCACCTTCCAAAAGTGCGCACAAAAGGCGTATATCAGTACAAAGCACACATGAATGAAGAATAAACAAGTGTAGAAAAATAAAGGAAGGACTGTTCCACTCCTAGTTATTTTCCGTTTTTCGCATGCAAGAGTGACATTAAACAGCCCGATTAGTCAAGACAGTCAAGATTGGTTGAGTGTTCCATAAAAGCAAGCGTGCATGCGCGTATGTACTGAGCTAACAAGTGCATTCAGCACCTACTTTGTATTGATTGTATATCAATAATGTTATTACGGCTTTGTTTCCAATGTAATAAACACATTTAAAAAAAGGTTGCTTAACGCATCAAGAGATGTATGTCGTATTGCCCGAAAACATGGATGTTGGGGGGGGGGGGGGTTAACGTCTTCGCCAAATTTTTTTTTTCAGTTTTGCTTGCGTATATACCCCAGCACACATACAAACGCAGGCACGAGCATACATAGAATATGACTGACCACCTCTCCCCCTTCCCCGAAAAAAATTTCAGACTGTGCTCCTGCTGAAAAAAAAAAAGAAAATATGCGGTCGTCGTTTGCCACGAGACGCCAGGAATTTATACCCACCACCAACACCCCATTAGCACCTCTCCCTCCCCCACTGAAGTTAGAACCCCCCCCCCTCCTAATGAGTGGCTGAATCCACACACCTGTATGTGAATTGCCCGGTGTCACCATCTACAAGTTCATCAGCGCCATTACCACTGCCTCTAACACTTCCCCAGCACGAACAAAAAATATATTCTTCGCGCTAAAATTACGCCTACAACGCAGCACGCCCACCATGGCCCCATCGGTGCGTGTGCTCCTGGTTCTGGCCCACCTGGCGGTGATGGTAGTCGGCAAGCACGGTTCGGGACGAGTGCAAGACAAATACCAGTCTGACAGATGCAAAAAACGTGAGTGGAAACAGACGCATGCGTCGAGGTCGTAGCATGTTCTCGCGCGCAAAACTCGCCCGTCCGTCACTCTCAAGGTATACATCATCATCGTCATCATCATCACCATCATCATCGTCATAATCATAATCATAATCATCATCATCATCATCATCATCATCATCATCAGCCTGACTACGTCCACTGCAGGACAAAGGCCTCTCCCATGTTCCGCCAGTTAACCCAGTCCTGTGCTTGCTGGTATACACCATATACCGATACAGATCAGTGGTCGGCACAAAACTGGAGCCAGGAGCCCCTCCTACCCCCCTCTAATCGTACGTATTCCTTACGTACGATTAGAGGGGGGTAGGAGGGGCACGCGCCACAAGTGAGTCCTTCGGGGGGGGGGGGGGGGCACTGAAACTGGAAACATATGCGTTGTCTTTTGACTGTATATACTTGCTTTTTTGGGGGGGGGGGCAAAAAAGGGGCAGCAGAAATATGGGTTGCCCCCCCCCCCGCCATTTTCGCTGCCACAAGATTGCAATTTACACACAAATTAGATGCAATAATTCCACTTCAGGTCCAAACTGCCACGTCTTCCTTCAGGTAGGGAGCGACAAGGGGAGAGAAGGTGGCACCTGACGTCATCCCGGGGGCCACATAACACTTCCTCGCGGGCCGCATATGGCCCGTGGGCCTCAGGTTGCCGACCACTGATATAGATGAACAAAACTGTAGAAGACACCCTTCTTGTCGTCGCATGGCCAGACCTGTGCGAAAACGCGCTTCGTGGCACATTCTCGACATACTTTTTTGTTTGTTTTATAACTATTTGTCCTAAAACGTTGTAATTTCTTCTTGCGATCTCTGCGCTACGGTCGGTTGCCCACATTTTCACCTGCCATATCATGCATGTCTTAGTGGATTTAATTGTTTCTTGAGTCTTGAATGCATTTAGATTGTTCAACATCATATTTTGTGCAGTTGCCCACTCTTGTCTGTAACTTGTCGAACGAGGTGTCAGTACGAAATAAATGAAATAAACAAGAAAGCTCTACAAAGTGAAAACGTATACGTCAGCGATCGCGGCACGTGTTATTTCTTGCGATTCTCTGCGCATGCGCCCGATGGTTGCCTGGCAACGCGTGTCATTCCCGGTACACGATAGGATCGCATCGTAGCCGAGCCTTAAGCCCAAACTCCATAAGCGACAGCGACGAGCGACGCTATGAGCGACGAAACAGGGCGTTCGCGCGACGTGTCGCGTGCTCGTTTTCGCGCGATCGCTCGGTTCTCCAGATTTGGAAACCGTCGCTCATCGCCCGGAAGTGCTGGGCTCAAGCAGCCAATAGCGAAAAACCGGAAAAGGCGAAGACTACAAAGGTGCACGTGACCCTGCCCGAGTCACGTATGCGCAACAAGAAATAACGCAATGTTTATTACGCATGCGCACATAAAAAATGCTGCAAGGCAATAATAAACACTTTCCGTTCCATTACACAACAATATATCTTATTTTTAAATTGGAAACCGCTCGCTACGCGGTTTTCTTAGTGCGAATTGACGGCCTCATGCCAGCAACAGTGGAATTCGCTCGCCGAAGCCGTCGCGTGAATGAGGTTTGCCTGCGCTAGCGACTGATCGCGCGACGCCGATCTACGTCGCGTCGCTCGTCGCTGTCGCGTGCATTTTCGCGCTTATGGAGTTTGGGCTTTAAACACGGTCACTCAACGATTTCCAGAAGCGAAGACTAGAACTGCAAGGTCTGTTACACCTGGACAGATATGAAGAAGGGGCCTAAAAATATGTCAGCGCAATACGAACCATAAACTTAGCCACCTTACCCTAAATGTCACCGGCCGTGAAACCCAACCCACCACCGGAGAGTGCCACTTTTTGCCATGGCGCGTGTGAAGTGATGTGCTAGGTGGAGCGAAGACGTCCTGTTCTACTAAAGTTCTACAGAAGTTCTACCGAAGTTCTACCGAAGTTCTACCGAAGTTTCAAGCGCTGCAAGTCACCTAATTTCTGTGCCGAGCTGAAAGAGAAACTAATTCATCTCGATTTCACGCGCAGATGACCACTGAACAATACCGCTTGCTGGAATGCAGACGCAACCACAGCTACCTCTTTGTTACGTCACGGCTCGCCAGTGTGTCCATTGTTGCCCGACTCTCAGGCCGCTCGCGTGCTTGTAAAAACATTCAATTATGTATTAAATCCTCGACCAAATGTGCTAAAATTTCACGAGCTTATTTGTGAGTGCGCAAGGATTAGCTATCATAACACAGATTACGATCGAAGACGTGTTGTCATGGCCACGACGCGGTAGCGGAACTTGCAGTCACTAAAGCCCCTATACCTTAGGAAAACTACAGCGTTCTTTTGATCTGCACCGCTTTCTCCTCTTTAGGCCGGAGCAAGCTCGTGGCGCGTTACAGGGGGCGCCACTGTCGCAAGCAAAGGAAAAAAAAGAAGGGTGCTGGAGAGGAGGTGGCGATAGGGAGAGTAGATCGAAGTACTTTTACAAAGAATAAGTTCAGCGTTTTTTTTTTTTTTGTCTGCGCAGCGTCCTCTTCTCTCCGCCGGAACAAGCTCGTGGCGCGTTACAGGGGGCATCACCGTCACAAGCGAAAGAAAAAAAAAGCAACGTGCAGGAGAGGAGGTGGAGAGAGGGAGAGCAGATCGCAGTACTTTTACAAAGAAAAAGTACAGCGTTCTTTTTGTCTGCGCAGCGTCCTCCTCTCCCCGCCGGAGCTAGCTCGTGGCGCGTTACAGGGGGCACCACTGTCGCAAGCTAAAGAAAAAAAAGCGATATGCAGGAGTGGAGATGGCGAGAGGGAGAGCAGATCGCAGTACTTTTACAAAGGTAACGTACAGCGTTCTTTTTGTCTGCGCAGCGTCCTCCTCTCCCCGCCGGAGCTAGCTCGTGGCGCGTTACAGGGGGCACCACTGTCGCAAGCTAAAGAAAAAAAAGCGATATGCAGGAGTGGAGATGGCGAGAGGGAGAGCAGATCGCAGTACTTTTACAAAGGTAACGTACAGCGTTCTTTTTGTCTGCGCAGCGTCCTCCTCTCCCCGCCGGAGCAAGCTTGTGGCGCGTTACAGGGGGCACCACTGTCGCAAGCGAAAGAAAAAAAAGCAACGTGCAGGAGAGGGGGCGGCGAGAAGGGGAGCAGATCGCAGTACTTTTACAAAGGAAAAGTACAGCGCAGCGTCCTCCTCTCCCCACCGGAGCTAGCTCGTGGCGCGTTACAGGGGGCACAACTGTCGCAAGCTAAAGAAAAAAAAAGCGACGTGCAGGAGAGGGGGTGGCGAGAGGTAGAGCAGATCGCAGTACTTTTACAAAGGAAAAGTACAGCGTTCTTTTTGTCAGCGCAGTGTCCTCCTCTCCCCGCCGGAGCTAGCTCGTGGCGCATTACAGGGGGCACCACTGTCGCAATCGAAAGAAAAAAAAAGCAACGCGCCGGAGAGGAGGGGGTGAGGGGGAGAGCAGATGGCGGTTCTTTTACGAAGTTTAGGGGCTTTAGGGGTCACCGCTGAGTTCGACACAGTCACGTGATCCAAGCGGGTGCGTCACACATGATGTCAAAACCCACCATAACTTTAGTGAAAAGGGAAGGTTCTGTCCCGTGTTTATTTATTTATTCACAGATGAGATGTGTTGTACCGAAAGCATTTTCATCGGGAGGTAGTATTAGGTGCTACATTCGTGGAGTGCATGATAAGCAATAAAAAATAAAATACATAAAACAAGGTTATCATCAAGGCAACTTTGACGAAACAGACAATACGTTCAAATTCTCAAACGTAACAGAAACAATTGAACAAAGAGTAGTAAAGTTATTCCTTCATTTCTTATCTCGCAGAAGTAGCCAATCGTTAAAGATAAGGGAAGCTGTTTGTAGAATAAACGCATAGTTCAACACCCGTTTTCCCGTCGCCATAGCCGAATGGCAACAGCTACCAGAAATAAAGATTTGATGAAGTCACACTGAAGCATCGTTCTGAGCATAAATTCTCCAAAGTTGGTCCCACGGAACCTATAGCCGGGTTCCGCAGGCACCTCCTCGAGGTTCTGCGAGCCACTGATAAGTTTTTTCCTGGTTCTGCACTCGCCCACTCAACTGAGATGGCGATTCGGAGGTGTGATCGATCTATAGGGAACCTCCATCATATACGCCCGAGCGTCAATAAGAACATCTCAGTGCGTAAGCGTGAGCGAGATGCACAATAAATCCCATCAGCCGTCGACAGGCTTGGCACTTGAGCCTCGGATCGATTTGTAGGTGCGCGGAAAACGAGTTAAGTGGCACGATGGTGAATAAACTTTTTATATATTCTTATTAGCTTTCGAATTTATTCAAATTAAAAATTAAAAAAAAGCTCGCCTGGGGGAGTGGGTTCCCTGCTACCAATAAGCTTGAGAAACCATGGTTTAGCATAATAGTGTTGGATTTATAACGAGATAAACACTTTTTTTTTGCGTAAACTTTTTTTCGCTCGGTTGTCTGTTTGTAGAGACATATGTAACCCTGTGCACTGCCATTTCCCCCCTCCCCTTTCAATAGTGTTTTCGAGTACGGAGGGTACTCGAAATGTAACTAAATAAGAGAGGTATGCTTGAGTGAATACTCGAGCACTTAAAATATTCGAACGATTGTAATAATGTGCGAATTCGCATGGATTCGAATTTAAAGTATGGGAAATTTCGAAGTGTTCGAAATGAACCTTAAGTGTATATTAATCGGCATGTAACACCACCTGTAAAAGTGGTTTCGCTGCAGTAAGAGAGTGTCATACCGTGAGTACACTTATTCAAGAAATATCCACACTGTTGCAAAGTCCCAATTCCAGGTTAAATGATCATATTATGCTCACTTGAAAGCTTGCTGTTCCAGCTTATACGCTGTGAATGTTGTAAATTTTAAAACCTAACGTATTTAAATGCATTCTACTTGCTCTATACCTTAAGTCAAATCCTGCTACTATTCAAAGTTAGTTCCATTTCTTTTGAAGCAAAAAGAACGATATATACAGATGACTTGTTTCAAAGAAAAAAAAAACATTTTGCAGGTTAGTTTTTTCATGATAAAGACGATCATTTTCTTATAATACGTAACCTAAATTATTGGACGAAATCGCTATTCGTTTCGAATTCGCTTTGAACCTAAAATTTACAATTCGCAGAAGCCTACAATAAGTACACAAATAAAACATTACCATAAACTGAGTGCGATATAAACGTAATTACTACCGCGTACAGAAAAGCATTCTTCCGGTGAGAAGTTCCAGTATTGCACAAGTATAATCGCTCTTTTGCCAGTAAATGTGGTTGAACCGAGTCACAGGGGTGGAGTCACTGGAATTGGCAATGCAGCCTGACGTCAAGCTAGTGTCGACGCCAATAGGTGCACTGCTGGCAAGTTTACTTTGATATCAAATTGATATAGCTTATCATTATCACCTGAGCTTCCTACTCACCCAGAGCCGATTCTGTATACCGGAGACTTGTATGAAAGTGTAAACTTCGGTGCGAATATTTCAGTCAGTACCATCCTTTTAAGGGGGGCAAAGTGTCATAGCAGCCCCCCTCCCCTTTTATATTGTAAAAGGGCAGCATGCTTCACAATCGATGAAAAACAAGAACATAAATAGGAAGTATTCACGTGAAGTCATCCGCAAGGGGGCATTGGCGCGCCAGTCGCCATATTTGTGGCCCCGCGCACGAGGATCATCGTTGTATACCACAACCAAAGGTTCTCGGCATCGCGTGTTACGTTAATATTTTTCTGAGGAAACGGCTTGGTGAGGAGCAGCGCCACCAAACACCAGGCTGTCATATGCTGGATCGATGACTATGGCGGCGTTTTGGAGACTTTATGGCGGCACACTCACTGGCACCACCTGGCGGGAAAAGCTTATTGCATTCCGTCCTATGAAATACGACGAAGTGCTTCTCTCAATGACCTGCCGCCTGTGCCTTATTTTTTTGAAGTAGGATGCTGGAAAGGAAACAGCTCTAGGAATGCGACATCGGTGGCCTTCGGCCCCACATTATCTCCAGAGACCATAACCAAGCTTGGCCATGACCTCCGTTTTTTCAATAATGATGGAATAGGTCGTACTGACTAAGCGTATGGGACAGAGTTGCCACCCTTTCTACTCTATTGTGTAAAACTGAATAAAAAACAAACAAACCATATGTATGTTATGTGATATAAGGAGTTTCTTTACGCATGTAATATTACGTAGAAAAAGCGTAGGGTTGTTCCAGGTGTCACATCACGCGGATTTCGCCGAGTGGCCCACTTATTACAAAGCACTCAGGCATGAATAATCATCGTTACTTGCAAAAAACGTCAACAAAGTGAGCAGCAGCGTAAACGTTGCCTTACGGAACACGAATAATTGTGGCGATGTGGGCACTTCGCAACCGTACTTGCTGTGGACATTCGACGATAGTTTGAAGCAGCCAATGTTGCGCGCACAGTCACCTTTTTTCTTTGCTACACGGTTGAAGTATGCCCTGAGAACCAAAGCGGGGCTAGAAATTGAAGAGATGATGGACAGGGGGCCCGATTACGATATCCCGTTGTGCTCTTTCAAGGTGAAGCTCCAGTGTCCTCCAACTTTAGTCACCAACTAAGATAGCTCCCCTTTTTTATCGAAGAGTTTGCATGGATTCCCGTTGTGCTCTTTCAGGGTGAAGCTCCAGTGTCCTCCAACTTTAGTCAACAACTAAGATAGCCCCCCCCCCTTTTTTTTTATCGAAGAGTTTGCATGGATTCTCTCTTAGCGCTTCGCTATACGAACGAGTGTGAGTTCGTCACTTTTCTCGGATTTGAATTTTTCGCGTATCAGTAAAGTACGATTTTGCGACCCCGAAAATGCTAATATTATCTCGACGCGACGCTCGGTGAGCCAGAAAACTCACGAAGAGAAAATTCGCGTGAATACGCCACCTTGAGACCCCAGCAACAAAAACCTTGACATCATGAATTCTGAAGGCGCCTGCTTAGTCCTACGCAGCTTCTATAATCGATAAAAAAAATGAAGTAAATTTTCATCTGTGGGTGCCATAGACCTATAGCATACGAAGTCTCAGGAAATTTTTATCTAGCCAATGTCACGAAAATACCAGAAGTACGCTTTGAAATCTGCAACGTCGCACCGGAAGAATTGGGGGCGAGGTTTCAAAATGTAAACTTCATACTTGATTTTCTCCGCTAATAATGAGCTTATTCTGGTGAAACATATAACAATAGAGTTACAATAACTGCAAATTTGTAATGTGAACCAAGTAATTGTTTGTTTTGAGTGTCCCTTTAAGATATGCTAATTTGAGGTGCTCAAAATTTCGCGCCGTATTGAATGGTTTCCCCGGAACATGCATTGCTGTGCCAACAAGTCATTGCTTTTTTTTTTTTTGCACTCGACAGTAATGAGGATGATCATGTGGTGCGGTTCCGAGAAGGATTGGAAGAACGAGATACAGAGAAAAATGGCAGCACATGTAAGTTCTCGATGCAGCCACTATCGGAAGCGAAACTTAACCGGTGTCGCACGCTGAACGATTACAGATAGCTGCTATGAGCTCTCATAAAAGACCATTCATCTGTGAGCCACAACTATAAAGGATCTATCTATCTATCTATCTATCTATCTATCTATCTATCTATCTATCTATCTATCTATCTATCTATCTATCTATCTATCTATCTATCTATCTATCTATCTATCTATCTATCTATCTATCTATCTATCTATCTATCTATCTATCTAGACGCTCATTTTATCCGGCCTAATATCTTCACGAAGGCAGCAGTTCACCACTCTTCTAAACGTTCGCCCAAGCTACACCCCTTCCTGTTCAAGAATATACATCTCTTCACGCTTTCATCTTCTGCACTTCTGCCTCGTCTGCATTTTTACAGCGAGCGACTGGTCATCCTGTGATTGCTAGTAAAGGTAATGCAGGGCCGCTTGTAAGATATTGTCTGTGTTCTTTAAATGGTGCCTTGACATGGGAAACGTCTTCGTCTAACAGATGGGTGGAAGCAATTTCACTGATGAAGTGGACGAGTGCTTGGCCGCTTCTCTCGACCCGGATGACCGAATGTCGTACTGCACGGATATAAAGAGTGTGAGTACACTGATTAGATACACAACTCCGAGTCTCGCGATAAGCCAGACAGTTGCCAGGGTACACTCTAACAAAAAAAAAAGAGATAAGCCAGACACCTGCTAGGGGACACTCAAAAGGAAAAAAAAAAAAGAGACTGACTCAAAAAGTTGTGGTTTTCCACGTATATGATTTTCTTTAAAGGGGCCTTTACACTGAATTTTCGATCATAATCTGTGTTATGTAGATTAATTCTTGAGCATTCGCCAATAAGCTGGCGAAATTGTAGCGCCTTCGGCCGAGCACCTAATTTATAATTGAATATCTTCACAAACTCCCTAGCTCCCCTAGAGTTAGAGACCTGTACGCTTAGCTTGAGGCGCATGTTATATAGCGCCCCTGGTGGTTGAAACTTTAGGATGACTTATGCATCGTCGACCTTCGGCATGCGAAGCTATCTGTCGCTCTCTACTCACGCTTTCTGTGTGTCTGAACTGCGCTATAGACGTAACGAGGGTTGGCGTCCTTAATAATGAAGAGCGCAGCATGCTATGGGCTCAGCTGAGTGAGTTTTGTGGGTATATGCGCTTACACCCTCGCACTTACTGCTACTCGTATCTGTTGTGTGGCGCTGAACCACAGAAAATGCCTAGCGTTGGAGGAAATGTACAAACCTAATCTTCAAACTTTCTCACTGTACGGTGGTTCACACTCAGTCCTCCAGTTACTCATCTCTGCTTCTCGTTTCAGCTAAGGGTGTACCTGATGTGCTCGAGGCAAACGCTTTTCAACAGAGTCGTAAGTGTTCCTTTTTTGAGAACCTTTCGAATTTTCCGATGAGTAAAGCAACGCATCAAAAAAATACCTAATCATATGTGTGAAATCTCGCGCATTTATTTAGCACGTGTTGTGGCCGGGTGGCCCCGGAATAAGCACAAAGCGAGTAATGCTTACCTACGCAAATTTTCTCCCGCATTCTAGCACATTGGCTCCAAGTTCGCCGCCCTCATGTTTCATCGGGGATTTGAAGTAAGCACTTCGTTTTTATCCTCTTTCATATCGTACGCGTGCTGAGGTTTCCACAATTAGGGGGGGAGGGGACGGAGTGGGTGGAGGCGCCCGCTGGGAGGCCTGGGGGACGCCTCCGCCAAGTCCCCTAAGAAAGGATTGCACTGGTCTGCCTCATACCTTGATTTAGTAGGACATGGAGGCCACGATAAACGTTCACCTCCTCCCTCCCCCCCCTGACACAAAACCCTGCGCACGACTATAGAAGCAAGATGGCAAGTTGGGCCAGTTGGATTACGTTCATAGTTGAAAATTTTGTTGAAGCGCACTAAAAAACAGACTGGACAGAAGAGGCTGACAAGGACAGCGCTTGCTCTCACGACTGAAGGTTTATTAGTCAAAAAAGTTATTTAAGCGGCTACATGGTCTTTCGCTCATGTGCATCGGGACAGGGTGCAACAGAAACCACTCGTGTCAGGGTTACAAAAGTTGTCCATATTATGTGTCAGACACATGTATCCGCTTTAAATAACTTTTCTGACTAATAAACCTTCAGTTGTGAGAGCAAGCGCTGTCCTTGTCAGCCTGTCTGTCTGTCTGTTTTTAGTGCGCTTCAACAAGGAGGAGGAGGAGGAAGCAACAAAAGGGAGAAGGCAGGGAGGTTAACCAGAAAGACATCCGGTTGGATACCCTACACTGGGGGATTAGGTAAGGGGACAAGAAAGACGAGAAAGAGGGATGAGACGGAAAAGAAAAAAGAAGGTGGGGGAGAGACTGACAGCAATTTCACTGCAGCGTGTAGATCTCTACCGCATGTCAGAGGCGTTCACACAAGCCTGTCTTTCTCAGTTATGACTATAGGAGTAGCCAGAAACTACGTAGTTTCGGTGGTGACACATCCATAATCTGATATGGGGGCCGGGCAGGTGGACGTGGTCGAGTGCCATTTTGTGCTGTCTCATGGCGGAGACGAACGTGCCTGGTGTGCGACCCCGTGGCTACGCCACTTGGTTGGGGGAGGGGGGGGGAGAGTAAGTATTATCTTAGAACTCCAGTCCCCATTTGTCGAGACCTTAAGAATACGAGGTCTGCGCTGGATGCAAATATGAAAACGGTGCAATGACGTGATTCTCGCGCACAGCCTGCCATTGGTACCCGCTTTCCCGGGGTAAATATAGGAACTGAACGGTTTTCTGAAGGTAACGCCAGGTGGCCCGAGCCACCATGACTGTCAACAACAACAAAAAAGCGTGTCTATAACACTGCACATTAGAAGTGGCGTGAAAGGTCCGAATGAGTAATGGTTTGGGACAAGGTAGCGCCCCTTTTTGAATTACCAGAAGTGCTCTTTCCCCCTAAATCGCGTATAAACTTTATTATGCTCTAAAAGTGACCCGTTGTACGAGAAATGTAGTCGGCAAGGCTTGCAATTACTGGTTAATCACTTGAACGCGGACGCGAGAAGGCACAATGCGACACGTGCTTTGCAGTGTGCTTCTGTGCCTTCTGATGTCCGCGTGTCGTGCAGCGCTACAACAAATCTGTCCCGGATTTAGTAGCAGAGTGTGTGGTCGGGTATCGTCCACAATGGGCCAATTCCTAGTCCGGACAGCACTTCCAGTGGAGATCGCCAAACTTAAAAGTGGTGGTGGCCCTTGGACTACGCACATGTCCACCGCATGTTGGTAGGCAATCTCGGGGGCCCTGCATTCGCGCCTCCTTTTGGGAGAAACATTTGCACGTTTGCGGCACCAGATGTCGCTTGTTCCGCACGTCTCGCAAAATCGACTTTAAACGGGTAGAAATAACCAGGAGGAGGCTCACTGATTGGTGGCTACAATCGAGGTGCGAGTGAAATTCAATCCTTCAACACACAGTGATAGTACTTAACTTTATGGCTAGGTGGCGTGAGCCACCGTCCGATCTAAAGGGCACTGCCAGATACATCCATCCATCGCACGTTTCGGCCACCGAAAATCATGGCGCGTGCCTTCTCGAGGCCGCCGCGCATGCGCAGACTACCTGCCCGGGAAAAGACAATTCTGCGTCACCACTGCGTCGTGTGCGAAACGATTTCGTTGTTTAGTCCACCGCCACACAGTGAAACGGGTCACAATTTCAGAAGCCCAACGGTTGGAGCTTTTTGTTCTTCCGTGTCACGTGACCAGAAAACCGAAACGAGCTGAATGCGTGCGTGGCGCGTTAACTCGGTCTGCTCTTTCTCTCATTTCGGCCTAATTTTTTGGATCTAGTATTTAAATGAATGCAGCTTGTTTTCGGCGGCGTACACCCTAGAAAACGAGTATACTTGTAGTAAACTTTTCTGTATAGCCTAGTTATTTGGTGTATAATAGCGCCCGTGGTAAGCGCATCTATTGAAGTTGACGCGATATACCTGCAATGTGGACGTTTCTTCAGAGCAAGTAGCTTCTGAAAAAAAAAGAACAGGACTAGTAAATGAACGACAAAGGGGACGAGGTAACACGAACGTGAAAATGGGAACTAGAAAGAAACAGACGCTAGCAAAGAAGAGAGATAGGATCTTGCTAATTAAGATTGCGCTAATTAGAGTCATGCTGACATGTGCTACGCTAATTAAGAGCTTGCTTATTATATCGGTCGGCCACAAGCTCCGCTTTTAGTCCAGCCTTGCACCACTTCTACAAGCTGCCAGCGTTTATTTCTCCATTTTTCCTTGCAGCATTGCGTGAAAGTGAACATGGGTATGATGGAAGCCGACCTCGGGATGTCGAACGACGAAGAAACGGGTCCCTCGGACGACGACGACGACGACGAGTATTACAAGAAATTGGACAGACCTAAAAAGTATGAGTCAAAATTGGTGTGGTGTGCGCATTCGCGAAAATGCTTTTGCGTAGCATAGGAAAGTGATGTCAATGCTGAAGAGACACCAGAGAGAAACAATCTAGATTGACGAACTACACTCTAAGGACTCTAACGTGACATGTTTTCTCATACTAACTTCATTATTTGAGAAAAACAGCAAGGTTGAAGTTTCCCTTTTTAAGTTTCGCGCCAGAATGTCCACGCGTGACGACAATCATCTCAAGACGTACTTTTCGTATTTTTGCGATAATGGCTTCATGAAATTTTTCTGAAACTTGGTATGCTCGGTCTATGGCGCCCGCAGAGGGCAATGTACTTTATTTTTATTTGAAGCTTCGTAGGACCCAGTACACGCATTGAAAATCCATGACTTCATGGTTTTTGGTGCGCGAATCTCCTGTTGACATCTCCACTTGCATATTCTTTTTGAGCGTTTTCTCGCATACGAAGCATCGTGTCGCAGTGAGAGGTTTTTTTTTCGGGATTGCGATATTGTACTAATACGCGAAAAATCGTTTTGCTATTTAGTGTCTCTTTAAGGTAACATTGATACCCGAGTAAAGGATAAATTGAAAAAAAAAAGATTACCTGTTACCCTTCCTGGCTGATTCCGACTTACCAGGTATATGGAACTTCTTTCAATTGTACCCTTTAACTTATTTTCGGAGAGTCGCGCCTCCCAAGACTCGTAAAGCAGACTGTGATGATTAAAAAAAATAAGTTACCGTGTGTCTTTAAAGACTGATATGCAGCAAGTTGGGAATTGCACACAATAAAAGTAACAGGAAATCTTTTTTTTTTAGAATGGCATGCTTTTAAGTACCATTTTTTTTTTTCGGCCTTTCAATGGCTTGGAGTGCGAAGCCAGTAATGTTATCCGGGCCTTCAAACGAGACAATAAGCACCCCCAAACAGGATCATCTGGGCGGTGCTAGCTCCAAGGAATGGGCAAATCCGGGCATTCAGCCCAAGCTTAAAAATTATGGTCCTTCACAGTTAAGTGTTCATAGAGGTCTGCGTACCATATATTATTTCCTTAGAGTGTATGTCTTGAGAGTAATGGAAACATGGAATTTTCGAGGCAGTGCACATACATGCATAGCGCCATGCGGTTATGGCGAAACACAGCAGTGAATACACAGCAACTGGTTTACTTTGAAACTGCTTGCAGCGGTTTTCCAAGTCACCATGTATCAAACACATACACAAACGTGAGAACACACGTCCAGTTTTATCTATTCCAGATATCGTTAACAGCCAGTTAGTTGAGTAGATAATGCTTGTAGAGGCCAGAATAAGAACGCCTCGCACACATGGTCGTCAAGATACGAAACCCTGATATCCTCAGCAGCTCTGTACCGGTAACGTCTTGTCAATGCACGGAGGTCTTGCGTAGTTTGACCAGCATGCATCCAACATGTACCCGACAAACACTTCGTACACCCAGCAGTAGCAGTACAAAAGTTTTATTGAGTCATTCCTATGGAAAGATTGCACCTGTTCGCCACCTTCTCGTTTCATAATAGCACAAATCAGGACCCTGGTTTGGCGGATGCAAGTATTTCTCCCCTCCACGCACCTTCATTACCATACGTACCCTGACCTCATTACGAATGGTTGTTCGTTACGTGAAGAAATGTCACCCGCTCACCCCGAACTCGGCCGGGTCCAGTGCGTTCAATGGTGGCAGCCACGAACAGTTACCCTGACTCTGTCGTCCAGCATCACACTAACCCAGGTTTGTATACGACCAACTCAAGTATAGCTGTTGTACCAACAGGGTCGCACTAGCTCACGTTCTGTGGGAGTGTGCAACAGCAAATGCCAAAACTGGTGAAACAGCTACCAGTTAGGTCTTCCGAGTACATTGGCGTTCTTGGTTGCTCAGACCAGGACCATCAAGACTGGACGATTCAACAGTACAAGAGAGCTGCCGAGAAACACGGTCTCTAGGCCGGCTCTTAGGCTTGAACCCAGCCAGAGCTACACAAAGTTGCTCACTAACTCACTCATTCACTCACTCACTATTCTCTAGGACTGCAGGAAGGATGCTCCCCCACAAAATATCCTTGCTACTCACAGTATATCTGTTTAGTGAGGAGATTTGAACGAGTGCCAAACTATCGAATTAACACCCCATGCTCTTCCCCTTCCTTGCTTACCTCAACCCCACCAAGGGACAAAGAAAGTGACGGCAGACGCCGCCACAACCACCGCAAAGGTCAGTACAGCAGGCCGGTGCGTGAACAGGACAACGAAGTACCGGACGAGTTCAACCGACATCGCCCCTACCCCGAGATTCATCAGCCCCGCAAGAGGGTGCCCTACGGCGATGATGACGACGGGACGTATATACTCCACATGTGGTCCAGTGACGACGACGAAGAGGTCAAGCAACGCTACAAATGGTTTGAAGGTAAAGACGATGGGCTGATTCGACACGACCGTCTGCCCGATATCAAAGATGAAAAGAAGAAGCATCCGGCCGACAAGCACCCACTTCCGGACGATGACGATCATGGGCTGAGCCAACGCGACATGTGGCCCCAGATCAGCGATGAAGAGAAGAAGCATCCGGTCTACATGCGCCCGCTTCCAGACGATGACGATCATGGGCTGAGCGAACGCGACATGTGGCCCCAGATCAGCGATGAAGAGAAGAAGCATCCGGTCTACATGCGCCCGCTTCCGGACGATGACGATCATGGGCTGAGCGAACGCGACATGTGGCCCCAGATCAGTGATGAAGAGAAGAAGCATCCGGTCTACATGCACCCGCTTCCGGACGATGACGATCATGGGCTGAGTGACCGCGACATGTGGCCCGAGATCAGCGATGAAGAGAAGAAGCATCCAGTCTACATGCACCCGCTTCCTGATGACGACGATCATGGGCTGAGTCAACGCGACTTCTGGAGAAAGCTCCGCGATGAAGACAATAATCAACAACACGGGCTGCCCGATGATGAAGACAGCGACGTCTATAAAAGATTTTGGTATCGCAGGCGTTCTCATGAGCGTGGTCACAAAATGAGTCGACACGACAGGCATCGCCACAGGATGAATCGGCTAGACAGCAGGGGGCGTCATGTGGATGACGAGTACGGAGGTGTCAATAGGCGCGACTCCGACGGTTTCGGATTGAAACGACAGCGCTGATGGCCTCATCACCGCTGATACCGAGGGCGGTTATCGTTACCACGTACGCCACGCTATGCGAACGGTATTTGGGCGAACGTTTGAGAGCTTCCGTCTAAGGTTTTTTTTTTTTAATTAGGTCAATAAATCGAAAGGTGCAGTTTTCCAGTGCACCCTTCTCGTAAATCATTGACTTCTCTTCTTTTTACTCTCTTTAAAATAGCAATATAACATGGACACTCACGACAAGTTTTGTGCCATCGGCACCGGCGCTGCCGTGATGTTCCGTATAAAGTTCAAATAGATATCGTTCCCGTACATTATATGCTTTATGCGTTGTGGAAGCGTGTGAGCACAGCTAAGGAAAGCGGTTCTGACGTAAACGCCCCGGCTGTTATCCGTCGCAGCAAGCGCACAGACGTCGCTTTGTCGTCGGGCGTGCGCACGCTCCGAGGACGTTGTGCAACTTTTCCACGTGACAATATAGCATGGCATGGTTCGTCTCGTGACTTGGTTTTAAATACGCAGACGCGTACACTCCATCCTTCTTCACATATCATTATCAGCCAAGAAAGTCACACGCGCAGGCCGAAACGAGGTTTCCCATTCACGGCAGCTGGTTCCTGATTAACACCTTGCACGCAATGCATTTCTATCGTATCTCCCGCTTAGGTGCTATGCAAGTCTATACCGACACTTTGCACATCCGATGTGTTTTGGGCAACGAAGAATCTCGTCTTTGTTTTTCTTGAAAAAGCGGACGTGAAGCGCGAAGGTGAGGGCAAAGAACACTGTAGAGTCGATGGGCGCCGACTACCGTGTGCTGTTCGTCATTGCAGAACGGAAGCACATACCCAGTCACACCGTAGATACGTTACGCATCATCACCGTCAACGAAAAAAAAACGAGACAAGAACACATGAATATGTGTATGACCGCATTGGTAAAAGTTCACAAAAGCCGTGCGCCTCCAATAGTTCATTAATACTACATGACTGTCATGATGTCTTCTTTCTTCTCTTCCTCCTCTTCTTGTCCCTGGGTTCTTAGTTCTCTTCATCCTCGTTGTCTTCGTTAGTCTTCTACATAAAGTAGATTGTGAACGGGCTTATTTGGCATAAAGAATGTCCTAATGACCAACCAAACTTGACACTAGATCTAGTAATAATGATGGATGGTTTGCTCAGATATTTCGAGACCTGCGGCCTGATATTGGAAGGTCTCGTTGCCGTCGCTTTCAGCCGTTTCACAACAAGAGGAAGAGAAGGGCTGAGTGAAAGGCAGGGAGGCAAACCAGAAGAAGCTTATTCTGAGCCAAGATCTCCTAGGAGACAAGACAAGACAAGACAAGACAAGACAAGAAGCTTCTGAGCTGGAACTTTGGATGACCACCACAGTTCCATACATGCACGATTAAGTGGCTGCCACAGAGGTTCTTTACATGATTAGGGCGTCCTCTTGCCCTCTAATCGCAACTTCGACTGTAGTCTAATATATTCGTTACTGCGACTGAGCGGACTGGCATGCGTAGCTTGGCGATTCAAGCGTGATGCTCGGAGCCCGTGGCTTCTGGCAATGTGGCCGAGAGTGTTCGTGAAACGGTTGGCAGCCATTCTGTCTGTAGTCCTTGGTGACGCCGGCGTAGCACTGCTTGCTCTGGCTTCAAAACACTGCATATATAGAGGGCCGCGCCATGGGAAGTGGTTGGAACCGGCGGCCGTGAAATACGGAGGATTGCAGCGCCCCGCGAACGCCAGCGAGAACCACAGGTTGAACAAATGTCGACCCGATGCGTCACGACAATTCCGGAACACTCTCGCACACACACCATCACTATGACAACACAGCAAGCACGCACTTAAAGCATTCCATTTCATTCGCCGAGTAACGCAACTCCGTATTGTGCTTGATTGCGCAGCTTGCCTTGATGCTGTCTTTTTTTTTTAATTTGGTGTAACTGTTAGAAACAAGTGCAGAGCTACCAAATTAACGCTCCATCCTCTTTTTTTTTTGTCTCTCCCTCGTCTGCCTCAGGCCCCAAAGGAGGCAACCTGCGGTGTACGACGAAGACCGGCACGACCACCACAATCACCGGGACGAACAGGGAGGCCACTACGCCAGGATGGTGCGTAAACAGGACCACCGCAAACAGACTCGACCCTTTCACAAGGACTTGCGACACAAGAGGCGGCCCCTTCACGACGACGGTATAAATCGACACGAGGGGCGCGTAAGGAAGAATCGGAACAAGTGGCACAATGACCGCGAGACGAATGGACGCGACAAGCGGCCCCACGAAGTCTTTGGGGTTCAAAGGAGAGGCCAGCACAGGAGGCCCCTTGGTGATCGCGACATGATGAATCGACACGACAGGCATTAGACGATGACGGGATGAATCAATGCTACCGCAGGTGACACCATGTTCAACGCCTTGACCGGACGTGTCAAACAGAGCGTCTGAAATTTTTACTCTAAGGTACCGTTGTCAATAAAGTGGGAAAAAAACTCGTCGAGTTCACGTCTTTCTTCTTGGACAGCATCCAAGACTTCTTGTTTACTTTTGTTGCTTTTACTGCAGAAGCAATTATATGGACACTCTGTGCGCAATTCTGCCGTCGCCATGATGTTTCGTATGGAGTCCAAGGGTGGTAAGATCATCCCGCGTGTGGTATGTTTCAATTCTTTGAATCATCTGGCGTTCTTTCACGTGCACGAGGGTGACTTGCTCAACGAGATATGGTATCGTGTAGTCACAGATTGAAAAACAACGTAGACAAGCAACAAAAGGCGCCGATGTAATGTGTCTGTGTGTCTGCATCTGCGACTAAGCGCAACGCCAACTATAAACCCAGCGAATCACCCGCAAAACATTCCTGTATTGAGCCTGCCTCAAAATGCAACCAACTTTGACTAGAATTCCAGCACACACGTCTTCGAACTTTAGCAGCGCGAAATCTTGTTTCACGAAAGGCTGCACCCGTGCAGTAATGTCATGGAAAAATTCAAGCATAACTTCTCCACTGTATACTGCTATAGGCCTGCGTGTATGGTTCCAATAGGATATAGGAAGTACGATACAGGGAAATAAAGGTTGAGTAAATGGAGTGCGGTCAACTGGAAGATATCGGTATGGCTTGCTACCCTATACTGCGGTAGTTGCGGGGGCAAGGAACAAAAAAAGAAAGAAAGAAAGGGTTAAACAATACATAGATATAATACGCACTCGCACACAACTATTGCAAAAACAAACGCAGTAAGACAGTGAAACTTTTTTTTTCTTTTATTATCACGATTCACAGTAAAAAGATACAGAAACAAGGAAGGCTCCACCAATCAGTAAGTCAGAGAAAGCGTGATGTCGTTCCCATGTGGTTTCTCTCCACGAATTGTGCGTCACATTTTCTCGTTATCTTCGAGCGATAATTAAAAGCGGGGGCCTCTTTGTCGGGCGTTTCAGCCTGCGCATCTTTTCCTTGTGGATTTCGCTCAAGCATTTCTGAAACGAGACAAAAGCACCACCGTCGCAGTGCGACGTACTTTAGAACGCGACTGAGAGTCCAAATATTGCGTGTCCATTGGCCTGCACAAGCTGGTATACATAAGGGTGGGGAGGGGAGTGGCAATTTTTTTTGCAACCCCTCTCCTCGGCCCTCTGGACTAGTTCGAAAAAAAAAACGGGCTGTTCAGTATGTGCAAATATGGCGGTGAAGCAATGACGTGGTAATCAAAGCGGTTTGCCAGTGAGCCCCGGCTTTCCAGTGATAAAAATGAGGGTCCATGTCGTACCTTAACCTCTAGTTCTATATTCTTTTTATTTTACGCTGTGGTTGTCACTGTATAGTACCAGCATGCCTACGTCGTTTTAAGGTGAGAAGCAATTGATTGACATGTGGGGCTTAACGTCCCAAAACCACCATATAATTATGAGAGACGCCGTAGTGGAGGGCCCCGGAGATTTCGACCACCTGGGCTTCTTTAACGTGCACCCAAAGCTGAGCCCAAGGGCCTTCAACATTTCGGCCTCCATCGGAAGTGCAGCCGCCGCAGCGGGGATTCGATCCCGCGACCTGCGGGTCGGCAGCCGAGTACCTTAGCGACTAGACCACCGCGACGGGGCTTAACGGTGAGAAGTGAACTTTGTGGTATGTAAAGTCAGGAGCCCCCCGGTTCGTCACCGTCGTCGAAAACCTGCACTTGCACAACCCTGCGCACTGAACAATAAAGTGCCGCCCCTCCCCCTCTGCGCTCTTCTCTCTTTCACTCACGCCTATACTGGCATTCCTTATAATATGCTATTGTGTTGTAGGGGAAGAGGTTTGTAGAAAGAAAAAAAGAGGCGATGGTTTCCGGAGCGTTGCAGGAGCCCGGTCCAGTGCGTATGTGCTCGCACGTGATTGAGGGACATGGCCTTGAAGCATTGCAACCATTCTATGCATGTTTTTGCTTTCCAAAGAAGACATGTCGGCAGTGAAATGAGCCTTAAAATGACGAGTTATAGTTAGACATGAAGCGCCCCTGAAGCTCACGTTTCGATAAAAGGACTCGTCTGCTTCAGGACCTCTTGAAGCACCACAGAAGAGGACAAGTCTATTTGCCGAACGTTGATCATGCACAACAATTTCTAATCCTCGTTAATTTGAATACTGCGTTAATTTACATGGGGTTTCAGAAGCAGTCTTCTGGGGAAGACTGAAAGTGCATTTCCTGTGCGTAAGACACCCACAGAAATTGACCTGGTATTCTGCTAGAGTGGAATGACGGTAAATCGTACGTATGCCGAGTGAAAAACAGTTTAATTAAGTAAACGATTGGTTGAGAAAGAATGTTTATATTCAAGAAGCACTTGAGATTACCTCGCCTAGCATACTCACTTTGGTTTCGCCAATAAGTTCTCTGACATCGTCTTCGCTAGTCACCTGCAGGAAAGACGCGCACGAAACGAATACCATTTACGACAACTATGTTAAACAGATACAAAAAAAAGTAGGAAAACTGACGAAAAACTCGAAATTATTTTCGGAAGACGTGACTGTTTCGCTAAACAGAGTTTTCTTGAAGGGCCAGTCAACAGGCTTCGAAACGCGGAGAAAAAGTTCGGGCATTTTCCCTGCGCGTGACTAACCTCCTTCAACGCACAGTGAAGTCAACTCGGTGATAGGCCACGTGACGCGGCACGCAGCTAGTCGATAGGTCTAAACCAGGTCTCAACAAACAGTAATCAAAGGGGTCGTGAAACGGTCGCTTTACAACGACAATGCGGCACCATCGGCAGCCACATGCGCTAACTGTATCATAAGCCAGAGTGGACCTGCATAGAAGTTTTGCCTATCTAGGAACGCGGAACTCTATGGCATATCGAGCACGCGCAAGAGGCGCTCATCGGCGTCTGCCATACGCGATCCGCGTCCCACAAGGACGCTGCCTAATATGACGTCAGAGTTCAAGTTAGCGCTGATTGCGTATGACAAAGACGCTGACTAGTGTCCCAGTTGCACGCACGCAGGTACCGAAAAGTTCCGCGTTCTTGATAGGCGAAGAATTACTTATGGTGACGTCACCTAGTTAGTGCGTGTGAACGCCGGTGGCTTCGCATTGTCGCTTTAGAGCGAGCGTTTCGCGACCCCTTTAAGTCAACGTCGCCGATCCCCGAGTTGACGTCACCGGCGCGCTGAAGGAGGTTAGTCACGGGCAGGGCAAAATGCGCGAGCCTTTCCTGCACGTTTCAGAGCCTGTTGACTGGCCCTTTAACATACTTCTGAACAGCTGTCTGCATTTTGGGAGGACTGCAAGCTCGCGGTAGCCTAAAGGCCTGGCCACATGTACCCGTCACAGCGCGTGACCTCTGGACGTGGCACAGCGCCCTTTCCCTATGAAGAGAGAGGGCATGGTGCCGAGTCTGATAGTCAGGCGCAGACGCGCTGGAACGGGTACGTGTGGTCGGGCCTAAACGCCAGTGCCACCCGTGACGTAAATAACGCCGCAACTCATGCAGCGTGCACGTTCTCATGTCCCGCTATACTTTCCTTCGTCACCCCTCCGTTACGTTTTACTATCTCCCTTCCTCAAGGTGCTGAGGCGTGCTGCATCACTGAGGGGCTTTGCAGAACGCAGCGTTGACAAACGCTACAATGCACCAGGACGCACGAATGAGAGTTCATGTTGAACTACCCGACACCTATAGCACAAGGGGTGGGGGCACCCTCCGATTTCTTGAACGAGCTGCTTTGTTATTTGACGCCTCTTTGGAGGCTCGGTTCGCCACACAGTAGGGCTTCGCACATAAGTATATGTTCATATGGAGCAGCGCACAAAAGTGAACACGCAAAAGTTTTGGTTTTACTACAGTATATATTCAACTCAAGATTGTGCAAAACTCAGATCGCTTACGTGTTGCTTCATGATGTTATTCCTAACGCAAGTGGTCATGACCTGCACCTACGAAATGGAAGAAATGTGAAATAAAAAAAGAGAGGGATTCACAAACTAAATTATAGGTAGATATAAAGACCGTTTATTGAAATAAAAATAAAATAAAAGTTTTCCCCGTTGTCAAAGTTACTTGGCGTCGGCTACCCATTCCCCTTGATTGTTACGAAAAAAAATAGCGTATATACATATATACAGTCTTACATATAGGTGAGTCCAAAACTTATCACTTGGGCAGAACAAACACATAGCCGTCAGTCTGATTTAAAATTACACAAGACACAATTACACCTAATTACAGTGAATTGATACATACATACATACATACATACATACATACATACATACATACATACATACATACATACATACATACATACATACATACATACATACATACATACATACATACATACATACATACATACATACATACATACATACATACATACATACACAGACAGACAGACAGACAGACAGACAGAGACAGACAGATAGATAGATAGATAGATAGATAGATAGATAGATAGATAGATAGATAGATAGATGGATGGTGCCGCCATTACAAAATTTGACAACGTGGTGGAATCGGACGATGTTACCGAATATAACCCCCCAAATATTTAGGGAAAAAAAAAGCCCACGGGCTGAATTGATCGGCCATGGAAGCCACAACTTACGGACTGCTCGTCGGTGCAGTACATGTTATCGGGCACATCTTCAGATTTTTCGGTCAAGCAGTCTAAGAGATCCTTCCGATAAGTGGTATTCTGCAACTGTTCACGTGGAAGGACGGCGAGAACAAAGAAAAAGGAGGCGTTTATTAGATTTCGGTGGTGCATCCTGGGCGTGGTTGCTCGTGTATTGATTTGGCCCTATGGTAACGCGCTTCCTTGAGTCAGTCTTGAGGGACGCTATGTCGGCTGCTGAAGGATATAGCAGCCAGCTTTACGATTTTTATTAAAGTATGACAGCTACAAACTGCGCACTTTGCAATTTGTAGCTATCGCACTCATCTTTCTATTTCCTTTGCGGTGAAAACGTTGCTTTTTGCATGGGTGTACTTTTTTTTTCTTATTGGTCCGCAACGGGCGGTTACATTACGTTGAGTATCAAGATTGAACGTATTTCGTTCTTACGAACGAATAAGTAATAATAATAATAATAATAATAATAATAATAATAATAATAATAATAATAATAGAGAAAACATATGATCTCTGCCTGGTGTACGTACTTTTTTCAGCATGTATAGAAACCGCTCCCCAGATAGCCTTGTTTTCTTGCATTTACGCATAGATTCAGTGACTGCACAAAGAAAAAAAAGGAGAGGAAAACTTCATCATTGCGAAAGGTTGAGAACAATTTCAAGAAATCAGTGCGACAGCGACGGATGTGGGTTGTTTTTATGGTGCATTAAAATTTAAGAATGTATACAAGGCCCACCTAGAGGCATCGTTGCACCAACACGAAATAATTTTCTTTTACGTTTTATCGTTTTCACGTTTTACACCGCTTACCCATTTCCGTATGTCCACCACATTTGGCAAGTTGCATATGGTTGTTTCTCTAATACCGGTACATATGCATGTTGGTGGATACACGCCAGAAACTTGAACGTCCTGGTAAATTTCAGCGAGAATATGGAAAACGCTGCTTAGCCCACGACCAACATTTAGGTGGGAACAACGAACGTTTAGTTGCAAACCTTCCTGCACCACACTCTTACAAAGGTGACAAACAAGCGAATTCGTGGGTGGCGCTACTTATCCTTAGGTTTAATCCAAGCCTAGGTTGTACCCAAGTGTACTGCAGGTGTCAGTATACTCACACCACAAACACTCCATCGGAACTGGAAGTTTCGGAGTGTCGCCAGATACGGCGGGACGCCCTTCAATGCCCACCACCACCACTGGCTTCTCCTCGTCCGTGGCAGGAGGCTCCGAACCATCCGGTTCATCCTCATCACGCGCCGGGCCCTCGTCGTACGCCATGACCGGTTCCGGGCCTCCCTGCCCTTCGCGCCAGCGAGACTGCTCCCTGTCTCTGGACGACGACCCCGCACCACGGCTTTCCGGTTCATACCGGTCAGGAGCCGAATGCTCCTCAGATTCGGTAGCCGGTTTCGAGTCTCTTCCTGCTACAGACCCACGAGGCTGCTTTTTGAACGTGGAAGGTGGCTCCGGATCATGACTTTCTGGTCCGTTCCCGTCATGCACCAGGCGCTCGTCATGCGTCATAGGTGGCTCCAAGTCCCTTCCTCCTTCAGCCGCGTTAGCCGGCTTCACGTACTTGTGAGGATACCTTCCAGGACTACTGCCATCTACGGCCAGATGACCCTCATGCCCTGGCTTCGCGTCAGCGTCATCATCGGGCGGCTGCGACTCCTTGGCCATGGATGTCAATTCTTCGTCAGCGGGACGTGGTGGCCGGGCCAAGGATGGTACACCCACGTCATAATCCGGGATCTCCCGATCCACACCAGGCTGCCCATCGTTTGCGGCTCCCCTCGACGGTGGCTCATCTTCCATGAACCTGGGTGGCGGCTCTGGTTCGTGGAAATTTGAGTCGACCTGACGGGCCATCGCCGATTTGATGAAAAGCGACAGCATAAGGACGAAACAAAACAGATGTGAGGCCACCCTCGTGGTTCCGTCGAAGGCCATGTCGTCTGCACATGAGAAAGAGAGAGAAAGAGAGAGGTATAAATCAATACATTACAACGTTCTGCGTGGATCAACGAATGGATGCAAGGGTAAACACCTGCACATAGTGCAGTGCTGCGCCAAGTAGGCGCCTTCCTTTGGGGCCACCGCTTCGTTATGTTATGTTATGTTACAATTTTGTTGACGCGATCTAGGCATCGAGGTAAGATCACTCATGAATTACTCGAAGCTTTGCTCATTAAAAGTGGCGGGGAAAGATGTGTCAGTCACCCCTCTATTGCCATATCAGAGAAGGAGTGCTAATATTTGGCTAAAACGCTGCACTAATCTTTTAGTTCTCTTCATCGGCCAGCGCCCTTCAACCCTCGCGATTCTATCATTTTCATGTATCCATTTTTCTTGTGTTTAGGCGCATGCTCCTTGATCATTTTTGGTATAAAGGCGACAGCTTTTCAGTTCTTTTAGGCGAGAGAAGTTGACTCATGTGATATTTTTTGTAAAATTATATATATATATATATATATATATATATATATATATATATATATATATATATATATGAGATATGGCACAGCGGGAGCGTTGTCAACAAGGATAAATATATTTATTTCCCAACAGTTTTGGGAGGGGTCCTCCCTTCATCAGGGGATGAGTTATACTGACATCAGTTATACTGATGAGTTATACTTTCAGTATAACTCATCCCCTGATGAAGGGAGGACCCCTCCCGAAACTGTTGGGAAACAAATATATTTATCCTTGTTGACAACGCTCCCGTTGTGCCATATCTCATACCTTCACGAAGACTAACTGGCCCATTGAATTATTACTCCCACTATATATATATATATATATATATATATATATATATATATATATATATATATATATATATATATATATATATTTATCCTTGTTGACAACGCTCCCGTTGTGCCATATCTCATACCTTCACGAAGACTAACTGGCCCATTGAATTATTACTCCCACTATATATATATATATATATATATATATATATATATATATATATATATATCTGTGTGTGTGTGTATATGTGTGTGTATTGCCCTTCTCTTCTCCTGTTACGCATTGAGCGGAAAAGAATGGCCTCCTGGCTCCGAAATGGCACTAGCCATCAGGAATCAGTCCTGTCTAGAGTCCCACTGGCCGCAGCTCCTCAGGACATTAATAATGTTCGTTGTGTGTTTATCTGCAGTTAGTTTATCACCGGTGTAGTTATTGCGTACTTGTGTTGGTCTTGATGTATTGTTTTCCTCTATCCCGCTCTAAATGTGGTCATGTTTAATGTGATGGCTGTCCTAATTTTAGTATGTAAGTAGAGGTTGTCCTTCCTTTTCTTTCTTCCTGTGTTGTAACCACTTTTTTTTTGTTCTTCGTGTGGTTTTTTCGTGTACTGTACTGCTTCTTTTCAGATTCTTCGTTAGATATTATATGCCTTATTTAGTTATGCTTTTCCGAAGCGTCCTTATGAAATGCATCTTTTCGGACTCAAACTGGCCAGTGACCATGGTGTCCACACAGTGTGTGCAAACTTCACGAAGCAATTGTGAGCAATAAAATTCCAATTCCAATTTCACTTCCAAATCCTGCGCTAATGAAGCACTCGTGTACGTCTTGGCGTAGATACAAATCCTGAGCTTAATGCAACTTCACAGCCGTGGAGCCCGAGGAGCATGGTCGACCCAGTGATTTTCTTGACAACGACGCACCTACCGGGGCGCTGGCGCCCTCTCCTGACTAGCGTCGGTATCAGCCAATTTCGTCAGAGGTTTTTTTTTTTTTTTTTTTTGCGAACGTAGGTACAGTACCATCCACTGTTAAAGTGAACACTCTGATGAGCACATGTATTATTGTGGGCCTCATAACTGCAGCAGACGTAGGAACGTTGTTCCTGCACGGCACCAATGTATCAGAAGGAGTAAGAACAGTCGACCAGCAGTGTCTAGACTTATGCAAATCTAAGCCTGCATGTTTTTGCCAAAGAGCGAAATTTCAACATGGTGAACACAAAAGTGTTCCCTTTAACTGTGAACTCGTCTGTACATAAAGGCGTGTAATCTTTGGTTATTTTGTGGTTATTTCTTATGCAAATCTAAGCCTCCATGTTTTTGCCACAGAGCGAAATTTCAACATGGTGCACACAAAAGTGTTCCCTTTAACTGTGAACTCGTCTGTACATAAAGGCGTGCAATCTTTGGTTATCTCTGTGGTTTAAATTTTGCTTGGAGATCACTAGTTTATTCTGCACTGGATTTCAGTATTGTTAGCCTTGTATTAAGCCTGCCTTCGGTGTATCGACCACTCCGTGTTAACGCGACGGGAGACAACGGATTAACAAGTATCAAAAGACTATCGCTTAAAAAGCCGAAGTTCAGCTGAATATTAAAGAGTGAACAGATGATGACAAATTCGTGAGCCCAGGTTGTCGCAGGAATCTCCGTTTCGACAAGCTTCTTCAGGGATGCAACAAGAGCGCATGTACATCTACGCTTAGTAATTTTTTTTAGATTTGTATTGTCTGCTTTCAACATGTTACATTACATTGGATGGTATAGGGCTAAAGCGAAATAACCTTACGTAATAATTTGATGATATGTGGGATTTATTGTGCCAAAACCACCATATGATTACGAAAGACGCCGTATAGTGCAGGACTCTGGATATTTCGACGACCCGGGGATCTTTAACGTGCACCGAAATCTGAGCACGCGGGCCTACAGCATTTTCGCCTCCATCTAAAATGCTGCCGCAGCAGCTGTGATTCGATCCCGCGACCTGCGGGTCAGCCGCCGAGTACTTTAGCCACTAGACCACCACCGCAGTGCGATCACCTTACATATTAGGGTACGGTGCAGCAAAAGGCAGGTTAACGTCCTGTCGATGACCCTACCACTGTTTAACAGGGTTGTGAATACCATTCATAAACTAAACAATAGAAAGCGGAAGCAACCAGAGAGAAAAACCTCACATAGTACTATCAGCAACAGTTGACGACGCAAGAAAATAATTTAATTTTTTTTTTTGACACAAAAGTAATAAGCCACATGTTGGTTGAATCAGAAAAGTACGTATAAGGTGTTTTAGTTGGTTAGTTCCGTGTTTGGTTGTTTACAAAGCGGAAATGCAAGGTGCTATATCTCAGGCGCGTGTAGTTAGGTACGTGTGGGAAAAGTTCACTTGGTTTTTTTTTTCTATTTCTCTAGGAGTCTAGCAAGTCTGAGGTTGTATAGCTGATCAACTTTTAGTATTTCATTTTTTAGAAAGAATGCTGCTGTGTGACCAAGCCATCCGACAGCTTGTTCTTGAAGGACTGTCAGCCTACATAAATTTGTTTCGCTCGTAGTGCCCCAGATTAGTAGGTCGTAATACAGTTGAACATTTATGAGTGAATAATACAGCTGACGTACCAGCCGAGCCGGAACCGGATGCCTGATTTCAGAAAACACCTGATTTGACCTAGAAATGGCAGTATGCAACTTGCTTACATAATGTGTCCAGTTGAAACATTCTTCAAACAATTTTCTCACAAATTTAAATACCGACTTCCTTTCAATAGTACCAGCATTAAACCATGCAGAGAGAAATGTCAGGGACAAGTTTGTACCTATGTTTGAAAAGAATGTATGACTTTCAGGCACATTTAGGTGAAGCACTTGAACTCTTGAAACAGACAAGGCATCTCGTCGAAACGTTGGCCGTTGCGACAACCCGGTTTCGCGACTTTGTCATCTCACGTAGCGCTGTAGTAACGCTATGTAGTGAAGTGTGCCACGGAAGATCAGTGGCTACGGTGCACGGCTATTGAGCCGAAGGTCGCGGGTTCGACACCAGTCGCGGCGGTCGCATTTCGATTGTGGTAAAACGGTAGAGGCCTGCGTGCTAGCGTGCGATGTATGTGCACGTTCAAAAACCCCAGCTGGTCGAAATTTAAGGGGCCCTGCCCGACGTCATTCCTTATAATCATACCGTGTTTTTTTTTTGGTGACGTAAAACCTCGCATATTATGAGCTGTATGTAGCGAAGGGCTAAATTTCACTCCTGCCTTGATTTTAACCAACAGTCAAGTGACTCTCCTATAGAAGGTATCCACGTGACGACATCCGGAAGGAACGCCGGAGCGGCAATCTCCGTATATACGTGTGGTCTCGCGAGCTATACGAGTCGTCGGGACACAACTGAAGTTCTCGGCAGCACGTGGTATACTGATATTTTTTTTTTGTTAAAAAAAACGGGTCAGTGAGGCGCAGCGCCGCCAAACACCAGGCTGCCGTATGCCGGATCGCTGACGGACCACAGCTCATGGCGGCGCCCTCGCTGGCGCCGCCTGGCGGTGAGAGCTCAGTGGGCACCTCTTATTGGTTGTTTCTACAAGCGTGAAATCCATTTTGCCGTCACTGCCCGTAAACCCCAATGCGATGAAAAATTCTTCGGTTTGAAAAGAGTTACAAAAGAGGACGGCCTTTGAGAGTGTTGAGAGGTTCCCAACAGTTGACTCATAATGTAAACCTTACTGAAGGGTGAGGGAAGGGAGGATGTCACTAACGTAGTGTGTGCCTCACCAACAACTTGCATTGCAGCGCTCAGGTCGTGCGCAGGTTCATAAGATACAGAAAATCACGCTAGAAATAGTGGATAAATAACGGGACTGAGTATCTAAGGGATTACGAGGGATACGTAATGACTAAGGGCACCAGGAAAGCAGCTGTAATGAAAAATAGGGCACCGCGGAACTACAATGGGTATGACGTTATGAGAAAGAGATAATAAAGATGAAAGAAAGGCAGAAAGGTTAGTCATGGCTGAGCACGGTAGGCTACCTTGCACTGGGGAAGGGTAAGGGGAATAAAAGTTAGAGAGAGAGAGAGAAGGAGATAAATGTCACTCATGACATGGACAAAACGGCAGTTATGTGCTTAACATCAGAGACGGCGAGTCACATCCGTGTCCTAATCAATTGAGCACATTCGTTGCATTAACTTGT